AAAAGAACTATTGAAAGACGGAAAATTGTACAGAATTGATGTATATAACATTTGAGAGAAATGATATGCATATTATATCTTAATTGTTGAGCAAAAAATAATTTTTAAACAAAATAAATTCAATGAAACATTGGATTTCATTGAATATATGATATAAATCCTTGCAAATTATACATTTACAGATAGATGATGTAGCAGGTAAAATTATTTTTCAATCACTGGATCCAATCCATTGAGAGTATTATTAATTTATAGTAATGAAAACGGAAGAGCAAATTTATTAGTTAATAGTTCAGGAGCATTAGCAGCAACTCAAATAACTACTAAAGTTAGCTTAGTACATTCAATTATAATTGGTAATATTATATTGTAAAGCAGGCTCTTTAGAATAAGTATAACTTACTAGAATATTCCGTTGATTGTACTACACAAGAATTATTATAAGTAAAGATGAAGTAGCTCACACATGTTGAACTTTATAAAGTTTTAGAGTATATCTATAAGTATGTCAAGTAGAAAAAAATAACTTGCCATTTGATTAGAATATTAAGTCAAAATTCTTTCAACTACTTACATCTGTAACTGTTAATTAGCTTAACTATATTAATTCACATTTACACACTTTAATATTTTAAAAAATCCCAATGTTTTTAATTAATCAAAATGTAATAAGCCATTGAATAACATTTATTACCATCTATATCTCCTATTGTAATCAGCTAATAGAATTTTATTTGCTTGATCAATCAACTATGATACATTTGATGTTCTATATGATACCTCCCTTATAAGACATGTTGAATATTTTTAGTTTTTTTGACATCTCTTCTTGATAAACATCCATATAATAATACTAGTAATCATAAATTATATACATCACTAAATTTTTTCTAATAAAAAATATTCCAAGATTTTCTTTCCATTTTATTAATAAGTCATAGTGGTAATAATGTTTTTGTGCTACTGATAATTCTCTATGTAGATAAAATACTACTATTATAACGAGTATAAAACATATATTGCAGTAGATCAGTAATAAATGTTTGATTAATTCAATCATAATATAATATCGAAATAATATGAAACTTTTTTACAACTAAACTCAGTACTCTGGCAAAGATCATCTTTTACTATTTTCCATAGTTATAATAAGTTGCGTCGTGACATTTTATTCTGAATTTACGATCGATATAGCTATAAGATCATTATCCTTATACCTTTTCCCATTATCGTCTAGTAGGGCTTATTCATAGATTGACTTTTTCAAATGAAAAAATATAACGCTCGGATCCTGTAATGCTCATGTAAATAAACGACTTTGCTTCAAACTCTTTAATGAAAGATCAATATTTCTGAAGTCATAATAGTAACTTTTATAACTCATAAAATATTATCATAAAAAAAATTTTGCATGTATCATCCAAGATAAAAAAAAATATACAAGTACAGAATTTTTTTAGATAATTATGCCTTTTACTACAAGATGTAATTTTTCAGATGTATAAAAGTGCGAAAAAGTAGTTTTCTGGGCAGTGAACACACTGTGTGCATTTGGCAAATGACCCACATAGCTTCACACTCATTCTACGATAGCTGATGAGTACAGTGCCAGTTGGCTCATTCAGAGAGTGTGTAATTGACTGTATAAAATGTTTCCGAGTCTCTTTTCCATTGTAATAAACAAATAAAACTGAAATAAAGTAGATACCTACAATTCGATATACTGATCCCGTTATTTTCCCTGTAATTTAAACAGTCCAGAGGGAAATCTTCGTGTTCCATTTGCAATCACGATAATTGTGTATTCTATTTAAACAGTATTCCAGTACTCTGTTAACTTAAGGCCGGCATACATTTTCAAGAATTTTTAATTTAAATACTGTTTAAGTAAATATTTTTTTAAAAATAAACTCATCTATATTTTACCCCTGTATAACATGTATTATACGAAAACTTTTGTTAGCTGTAGTAAAATCAAAAGAGTTATATATTTTATTCATAAAAAATTATTTAGATTGATGATACACTTTCAGTAGATTGCAGTGTCAAAATCATCAACCAGTAAAAAAAAAATGTCAAATAGAATTTTTGATTTTCTAGTCAATAAATTCCCTCAAATAAAATATAAATGTAAGTTAAATATTTATATTTAACTCTCAAACAGAAATGTAACATTTATTTGATTGGTCTGTTTGACCGATTCTCCTTTAAATCAATCAGCAACTTATTTAAACAAATATGTATGCTAACTGGAGTAGTAATGATAAATCGTCAGAAAGATATATTTTCAATGTCCCTTTGAAGCATAAATTTATGATTCAACACACGCTGAAACATCATAAGTTTCTTCCCAGCGTGTTAGTTAGAAAAGCTTTGGTGTTTTGGCAAAGTTTATGATACTTAGCTGGACAGGAATGCCTATAAAAGACACTGTGTAATATCTAGTGTTGCACAATAAAAATCTAGTACACGAAGACCTCTGTAATAAACCTGAGAGAAGGGTAACCTACGTAATTACATACCGTACTGTGCACACTAATCCTCATATAATAGTGAAGGAAGTTTGGCAAAACGCCAACCACACGAGTAGATTTGCCCTTCACTGTCTTCTGTGTATACTTTAAAACTGGCAACTATTTGCCCAGTGTCGCACGTGCCTTCTTTTTAAGGAAAATACTACTGTTGTCTTCATTTGTCATAATTTATGAAGCTTTTAAGAGCAAATGGAAATCCTTTTTTTGTCCACTCCTAGCGAAGTTGAGTTCGCTGTGGTAAAATTGACTAGTTTAAATTAATCCATTTATAATTTAGAACATTTTGTGGAAAACTTTTTAAAAACTATTATTATTATTTGAGATTCTTATTCCCACAAAAAATGAAAAAGGTACTATCTTTTTGCCACAAATATATCTACTGCGAAATTTTTAAGTACTTAAAATATCGAATGCAATATAATTATTAACTTTGAAGAGATCAAAGTTGTAACTTTTTTTTTGAAACAAAGCATCAACTGAATAAGATAAACTTCAAGTCTTTTCCTTTGTAAGCTTTAAATATTTTGTTTGATAAAAAAATTCAAGTAGCTATCTATTTTGAAGAGTTCATTATAACTAGTAATAGGGTAGAATTATTGTTTTGAAATATAAAAATATACAAACCATCTAGTGCTAAAATTTAATTGGAACAAATTAACTTGGCTGTTTTGCTAACAACAAAACTTGAACTGTTGATATCCATAATTGTTCATATTAGTTGAAAAATATCTTGAGAAATTAGAAGCTCATGGCTTACAAATATACTGGAGAACCAATTATACCACGGCTTTACTCTGACGTCTTGATTCCTGGAAATATAAAAAATATTATACAAATGTTCTAACTATTTGATATTTTATGAAAAATCTTTCCAAATTAAAGGCAATATTTATAAAACTAAAAATTTAATGAAAATAGTGTTTTTTGAATTGAAATCTTTTTTGTTATGATAGATGTAAAGTTTTCTGAACGTAAATATTTCATGAAAAGAAGTTTCAAAATTATATTGTGTTTTATTTTGCAATAAAATTTTCGTAAATTCTTCTTTGATGATGAATAACAATTTGCAAGAAATTTCATCCCAAGTTTTCCTTGGAAAAGCATTAAATGTGGATGAAATTTCAACGCAAACATTGAACTACAGTATACATCAAACGAGACACAGTTAAGAAGATGCAATACTTTTAAATTTGCGTCAACGCGTACCGCAGCTTCTCATTTCTTATGCCCTCATTCGTTCCCTTAATGAGGAACACGTTTTAGCATCCAAAGCACGAACCGTAAATCGAAACTTGAAATCGGGCATCACGATTCGTATCACGTTACTTCACGTTGCCTTGGGAAATATCGAATTATTTCCCGCAACTCAATCCGCGAAGTCTTGGGCACATGACGACGTGTCCTTCATAAATCCTATTGGCTATTTGTGATAAAACGCGCCTCGTATCTTTTATACTTGATGAATTTTCCTGCAAGCTCAGTTAGAACTTTTGAAATATAGTAATATTACAAATAATTCCAATACAACTATCTCATAAAGACTCTTTTCTCTATACACTTATCTATAATTTTGTCATATTTCTCTAACGAAGCATTGATTTCATTGTATATAATTTACGAACGAAAGAGTTTGAAAATTATGTGACAATTTATACCATTTATTGTCTGTCTAACTTGAAAGTCGTCCAAAAGAGAATATATTCTATTAACTCAATGCTGGTACATGTGTTGTCTGTTGTAGATGTGACCTTAGAAACGTGGAATTTTCCTTGATCTCTCTTTAGCCTTCTCTGAGACTCTTTTCCCGCACTCGAGAGCTAGCTAACATCATTTCCGAATTCCGGAGTGTCGTCTGCGCAACTACAAATTTCATTATTCGCATCTCAGAGTTTAGGAAATAAGCAGAACTGCTCTTTTGCTTAGGAGTTCGAATTCATCTCCAAATGTAATTTGAAATCTGAAAAAGTTCATAAAAATTATTTTAATAAAAACTTTGAAATATTCTATTACCCTGTATTTTCAAATTTATCAAAGTTTTTTAACAATTGTTATTTCAAGTCAATAAAGCTTGGCTAAGGGTAATAAAGAGAAGTAATAAGATACACTACCAATTCATCGATCACATTTTTGAACTTTGTTATCATTCTCTTATTCCGATTTATTTCATTAATTATTTATATAGTACTAATAATTAAAGTTCATAGGTAATACATGAATATCAATACCATTTTATAGACAATTACATATTTCTTGTTTATTACGTTGGAGTAATACGCATTTTGGTTTGCGACCGTTAATTATGTATAGTAGCGACGTCTATAATTTTTTTAAATTAATTTATAATTATTATCTCATTTATTAATTTTACCAGCGATCAATAAACCAAATGTGTGTAGCCATGATAAATTACCGACAAAACACTGTTTTATCTTTTAAATTTTTTTTTCATTGCAGTGATAACATTTATCAAAATTTCAGATTTGCTTTAGCTTTCTTGTCAGATAATTCATTTACAACGATTACAACAGTACTATAAACATCGTTGGGTAATAATGAATAAAAAATTTGAAAATTAAAAAATAAGAGACAATTATTTTTATTGGCGCAATATGATTAGAAATCATCAAATATTAGTTTATTATTCTTCAAGAATAATATGGAGGTAAAACAAATATAATAAATTTAAATATTTAACCAGAATGATTTTTTTATTCAATTATTTATATTTTTTCTTTTTTTCTTCTTTGTTGTGTTCTGATAAGGATTTTTCTAACAGACAAGTGACCAAAAAATTCAAATCAACAATGACAACATCAACATCAAGAAACCCTTTGATAGCTGTATGTCAAATAACATCAACTCAAGACAAAGATAAAAATTTTGAAACTTGTAAAAATTTACTATCTCAATCCAAAGATCGAGGAGCATGTGTATGTATTAACAATTATAAATATATTACAATTTTGTGGAATAAATTCCTAAATTTCTTATTTTATAGATGGCTTTTTTTCCTGAAGCTTGTGATTATTTAGCAGACAATAAAAAAGATACTGTAGCAATGAGTGAGTTCCAAGATGGGCCAACAGTGACAAAATACAAAAATCTTGCAATAAATTATGATATGTGGTTGTCACTGGGTGGATTACATGAAAAATTATCTAATGATTCAGAGAAGATAGCCAACACTCATGTTGTAATCAATAATAAAGGAGAAATTGTATCTTCATATAGAAAAATTCATCTATTTGACATGGAGAACAAAGATACAGGTGTAAGATTAATGGAATCAGATTATGTGATGGGAGGAAGTGAAATTGTTCCTCCGATACTCACTCCAATTGGTAAATTAGGTTTGAGTATTGTATCCTTTGAATAAAAAAAAATAGTTGGATAATTGGAATAATTTTTATTTCTTAATGTACAATTATTTACTAATTTTTGGAATTCTTAACATGAAGTTAAAGTGTTACGATATGCGATTTGCGGAGTTATCTTTGATACTCAGAAATTTAGGAGCTGATATTCTAACATTTCCATCAGCATTTACCTATCAAACGGGGGCATCACACTGGGACGTTTTACTACGAGCTCGAGCGATTGAAACCCAATGTTATGTTATAGCTGCCGCTCAAACTGGCGTACACAACAAAAAGCGAACTAGCTGGGGTCATTCTATGGTAAATTGCACTTAAATATGATAAAAAAACTTTTCAATAAATTTTAATAATAATTTTAATATTATATGTAACGATTTTTCAACATATTTCACAGATAATAGACCCATGGGGTACAATTATAGCACAATGTTCAGAAAAAATTGGTATTGCTGTCGCAGAAATTGATTTACAGTTGTTAGAAAAAATTCGTAAAAATATGCCATGTGACAATCACCGTCGAACTGATTTATATCCACTGATGAAAGTGTTACATTAACAAAGAAGTAAACGTATGTTGTACTTGATTTCGACTTGATTAGCTATATTTTATTTAAGAATAAATATTATCACTATTTTCCGACTTATTTTTAAGCCCAACAAGTTCTAAGTCCACTCCATTTAATACCCAATTGTGTTCACAAATTTCTAAAGCTTCCCATTCAGATTTAAATGCTGCTTTTGGATCTGGAGGCATTGACATAGCAGCTCCAGACACTTGATCTTGAAGAATCTTTGATGTGTCTGCTGCATTATTTTCTCCAAGGACTAGAGTATATATAGATCTCAATCCAAAAACATTAAGGAAATACCACGATGCTGATGAAACCCATGCAGCATCTAATGTTTGTAATTCAATTCCTCTTTGAAGCATGGGTTTGAAACGTAAAGTTAAAGGAAATGGTACCTTTGCTAGAATAAAAAAATTAATATCTCATGTAATAAAATTCAATTACTAATATTTTATAGAAGAAATGGTCTAAAACATACTGGTAACAAAACCAGAAAACATCCAGTTTATCCATCCTCCTATAAGGACCATTGGTAACACATTAGTGACATTTCCCTTTAACATGTCAGTCATCATGCTAGGATCTGTCATTGGATTTTGCGAAACGGGTGCCCGCCTTTGAGTTTTGAAATAACCTGTTTCTTCATTATTAAAAAAATGTCTTCGAATTAAAAATGCTGATTTAGGAATGTATTGTCCATTTTCTCGAATAAGTCTTGATCGAATCATTGCTTGACTGAAAGTTGAAAATCATTGTTTATGCTAAATAAACTACACTATTGATCTACGAAATATAAGTTTATTTACAACTATTATTGTTCAAAATTATGCATACCTATCTTGAACTTGAAGTATTTCAACTTTCTTCTGAGAAGCCAACAAAATTGATACATAATGTCGAATTATTCCAACAAGAAATGTAATTACAACAATTGGTAAAAATACCCAACCTCGAATGTTTGGATCTAATAATAATTCAGCCATATTTTTAACTAATTAATAATAATAACAAACAATATAAATTACTTGTTCTTGTTTATATAAGTTTATTGATTATTCCATATCTAATTTTGATCTATTTATTTTTTTAATTTTTATAACAGAAAGAGGGAGAGACAGATCCCCTGTCTGTAAAAAAATAATGAACACAGATTATAGATTAAAATGCCCTATAGATTGTGAATGAACAGCTGTATAGCATCTCCGTGGTTTTAGACAATTGAGTTGAGTCACTGGTAAAAAAGTTCAGTGGAAAACTCAACCGATAAAGTCGAGAAAGAAATTAGCCAGCGAAGTGGAACTAGCTAAATTACTGGTGATTTCTTCGAATTCACAATTGAACCAACTGAATCTTGCATAGATGTGCCTAGTACGGATGCTAGGAAAGCATAAAGGGCACTCAAGTGCACTCATCCCACGCTTGTCGCCATATTAAACTTTAATGTTGAGTGATCTGCAGGATAATAATAACAATAATAATCATAATAATAATAGTTGCAAGTATACTCGGTTTCTATGCAAGTTTTTCATTGATAAAATTTTATAATTTAGAGTATTCAATTGTTTTTATATTTAAAACTACATAAGTGTTGAGAGAATTTCAATAATACTAATTGGTGTATCAAAATGAATAATGACAGTGGTAATGAAAGTAGTGAGTGCGTAGATCAAGTAAAATTGAATGAAATAATTTTGATAGAAAATGATGGAACTTTGTCTCAAAAAGAATGCCATGAAACAAAAACCATCTACCACTCCGAAAGTATTATGGTTGAAAACAATTTAACAATGGAAGAAACGTGTAATGGAAAGACGGCTAATCAGTTTACAGATGCTACACTCAAAATTGAGTCATCAAAAAACGATGAACCTTCGCCACTTAGCGCGGTTAGAATTGAAAATTTTTTTCAATCGATATTCTCCAAATGATGACAAATATCAACAATTTGTCTGATTTCAACGGAATGAATTCAATTTATTTTCTATTTCAGGATAATTCGATAGACGATCCCACAGAAGAACAATTATCCTTTAATGACAGTTTAAGTGATTTAGAAGATAATGAAGAATTATCATCGTATTTTGGTCAAACTCCAATCGTTAAGCATAAATTCGAATGTTGTTGTCAAACATGCAATACACAAAGGTTTGAAAATTAATTCAATTATTAATAATAATGATTTAGATGAATTTCAAAATTATTTTTAGATGCTTAACGTGTACAGCATAAATTTAATTTAATTCAAGTGTCAACATCATTGATGAATTATATTTGATAACATTTTTTAGGGCCTTTATTAGAGATAAAGTACAAAGAAGTTGGCATTGGCAAAGTCAAGGTCTCAAAATTCGAGAATATATAAGAGCTTTATTCAATGCAGCAGTTGAATGTCCTTCTGTGCCTAATATTCCTAAATATGAATTTGATGAAACTCAATACAAACAACTACAAGAAATAGTCAATGAGTAAGTACAACTGAAGTATAAAATAAATACCAGTGGTTATAAAAAAAAAAATATCTTTCAGATTCGTATTAAACTATCCACATAAATTATTCCTCATGCTAGCTATACAGGCTCAAGAATTTGTTGTTGAATTGAAAATTGGTATAATGCAACAATTTCCAAGTAATATTGATATTGACCAAATAGCTGAAACATTTCTCACTCGTAAGCTATTTTTAATATTACCTAATATGATAATGAAAATAAATTAATTTTTTATTTTTCATGTAACAGGTCTTCTAAATGGTTATGATGTGATTATAAACACAGCTATACAAGTAAGTGAGCTAACAAAATTACTCGAAGAAAAACATCTCAGCAAATTCAATCTTACGTGGGAATTTTTCAATAAAAAACTTTATCAAAATTATGTATATCTTTATGAGCCAATAATACGAAATATTTTGCCATGTATAATGCGTCAATTACAAAAATCGTGTAAGAAAAATAATGATGGATATAAATTGCTTCTTAGACGATACCTCGATTTTGTTGACGAAATGATGAAGACTGCCAAATTATGGGGTGAAACCGAATCATTAATAGATGAATATAATGTAGAACAAGTTACTCGTATACTTAACACACGTAAAATTGATCCAGATGTGTGGACTATTTCGACTATAGAGGAAGCATTGAAGGTTGAAAGCGAACGAACAATGGATGTACCTGGCGTTGAGTTAGGTCAAATACCATTTGATTGTTACTTCGTTAAACAATTGAGTGAATTGGAAGCTACAAACCTTGATAACACCAAATTTGTTCGTAAAATTCTAGATATATGGGCTAAGAAAGCTTATCAAATATTGGCAGCTGACTATTTGGGAGGTCATTGGTTTGACTATAAACAGAACCTTTTAATAGAGAATTCAATAAATCACAAAAATCTTGATTATTATTTCGGTTATCAAAGTGGTGGTGCTCTTGTTCTCAACAGTCCAAATGACAGTAACATCAAAATTGAAACCAATTGTTCTGTTTGTGGAGACTTAACATGGGTTTCATATTTGGTCATAAATGGAAGAACTAACGCTGGTTTATGTGCACATCCTGCATTACCGAAAAAAGAAAAACCTGTAGAAGAAGATCCAATTACGCAAAAAATACATTTTAAACGTTGTATTTGTATTTATCGGCATCTAGCTGAATGGCAAGTAGCAACATTCCAAGGATTATTATTATTTCCGCCGTGTTCTTGTATACTAACTATCGGACATTTTACTCCTTCAAATTTGGAAAGTCCTGCTACTTCAACTTGCTTTTGTGTTAAAAATGATATCTCACCGATAAAAAAATTACCTGATAAAATTGTCAAACAGAAGACGTTATCGCCTCACGAACAAAAACCTTCAGACCTAAAAACATCAAATAGCGCTAAGGTTACATCAACATTAACACAGACACTGCATTCTGCAGTTCAAACATCGACTATTCCACATAAATGTAATGACCATGACAATCATCACGCTAAAGGGTTAACTAATGGTCTATCATCAAAAGATACAACAAAAACTACAGAATCTTTTAGCAAAATTCGAAATTTAAAGAAAAATCATAAAAATATTAATAGTAATAATATCAACAATACTCATGCTCATAACAATAACTCATCTTCCCACAACTGTTTAAATAGACGATCAAATGTTGAACAAATAAAAAGAGTTTCTTGTAACGGCGTTGATGGCAATCATTCTGATTCTGCAAGTATAGGAGATTCGTGTTCATCTGCTGATTCTTCAACACCACGAGAAAGTGGTCGGCACTGTGACTGTTGTTATTGTGAAGTATTTGGTCACGGTGTTCCTTCAGTAGCATCTGTTAATAGAAATTATAATGAAACACGTGAAAGATTACGTCAATTACTTACGAAGAAAAAATCTAAAATATGTAGTACAGCTTCTTGCAATTCAACACCAAGTCCAATAGAATCGATTATTATCTCTAATTCTAATTCAGGTCATAGCGAGAATAGCAATTCAAATTCAATTTCCAACAACTCTGAACCAAAACCAAATATGCTAGTTCATCAATTTATAAACTCAACTGACCAAAGCCAGAAGCAAGATAATCGAGATCTAAATACACTGCTTGACTTTATTGAGGGTAATCAGCAATCTATTAATAGTAAAAAAGACATTAATATAAAAAAAATTGAAAAAAAAGCAAGGCAAAAACAGAAAAAACTTGAAAAAAATTTGAAAGAACAACAGGAAGAATTAGATAGAAAGAAACTTGTAGAATTGCAGAAGAAGACTCCTGGTGTAACAATTACAGTAGTTGATCCACAAAAACCAGTATCTCAAAAATTATTATTGAACCGAAATTTACCTGAAGTATCAATATTACCGGCTACAATTTCTCATCAACAGAAACACATTAATAATAATGAAAATAGCCGGAGTTGCATAAGTAAAAATAGTAGTAGTGGTGGTAATCATAGCAATATTAGCAATAATAGTATTTCTAAGAGTAACAGCAGTAGTAGTATTAATAAAAACAATAGCAATACAAAACAGCGAATGACGATTAATAAAGAAATACCAGGTGAGAAAAAGGGTACTCGTGTAATTGGTATTAATGAAATATTAAACTCTAGTCATTCAGCAAAAAGTATTAAAGATCAAGAGAAATTGAGTAAAATGAGTAAGAATACAATACTTAATTCACAAAATAAAAAACCATCTGAAAGCATAATGTTAGACCCTCAGTCACAATTATCATTAACAAAGAAACAAAGGAAGAAGTTACGACGTGAAATGATGAAGAAATTAGAGGAAGAAAAAAAGAACCAAGAACAGAAGCAACATGAGGAAGCTGAAAGTCAACCACAAATCGTCACGATTAAAAGAGTAATGGAATCTAATAGTGCTGAACCGACTGTTACAATTACACTGAAAGGCCAGACTCCAGCGGAAGATAAAGTTCTTTTTACATTAATTAATGGACAAACTAAAGAACCGGTTCAAGAGCAGCAAGCGTCTCAAAATTCTACAGGAAAGAAGAAGAAGAAAAAAAAGAAAAGCCAAGATGCTAATAATCAAGCAGCTCAACAAGTCAATCAAATACCAGTAAATCAGCTAAATGGTGTAAAATCCAAAGTTCAAGGAGTAAAAGGAAATGATAAAGTTTTGAAAGATCAGTTAGTGAACGGTAAGAATAAAATAATGGAACAAGAAAATTCTCAAAAACTATTTTTGACGATTACCAAAGAGTTAACTCAAAATAATACAGATAGTAAATCGAAAAAAAATAAGAAAAATGTTGAAAATAAACAGCCTCTAACTCCACTACAACAAAAAAATAATACAAAAGGAAAGAATCAACAACATGAACCGGTTGAAAATGAAAAGAAACTGAAAAAAGTTAATACAACAGGCCAACCACTTGCTGAGATTAAAATTCAGTCGAATGTCAATAATCTGACGAATAATGTACCTAGTAAGAAAAAAAATAAAGCACTAAAACAACAAAACAGCAATAATAACAATACTGATAATAATAATAAGAAAAATAATAATCAATCTGAAAAAATAAATAATAAAAATAATAATAAGCAGCCAACAGTTGAAGTAAATAGCAGCCAAATAACTCAGTTAAAGACTACAATAGCTCAACAATCTATGTCTAAACTCCTACGTACAAATATTCAACAGAATAAAATTAATGAACAAAATAGTAACTCATTAAGCAGCCAATTAAAAGATGCTAGTTCCAAGATAAACATTGAAAATCTTAGATTACCTCCTGGAATAACAATCACTAAAGTTGACGCACCAGTTAAGCCATTGCCAATTAAATCTACGCCACTACAAAAACAACCTACAAATGCATCTAAACAAGCCACAATAATAGCTGCACCAATGTCTGCCAATAGTATGCAGTCAAATTATAGTAGTTCAAGTTCACAGTCACCAGGTAATGTTATTGTAGTTGACACTGGAAAACTTAAACAGGACCTTCTTCCAGACAATGAGAAAGGTAAGATTTTTATCATCATGTTTTTTCTAATATTTTAAAGGTAATTTTGAATCCATTAATATTTTTATATAGGCGCATCAAGAGAACAGAGTAATACAACAAGTAATAGTAAGAAGAAAAAGAAAAAGAAGAAAAATAATAATGCCAATAATACCAATGCTGATAATAATAATTCTGCCAATGGGAATAATAAATCTGGAGTAATTGTGATGTCGAAAAAGAATAATGACTTAACATCCAAGTATTCAAATAATGAGCAAGCTAGGATAGTTCATAATCCTGGATCGAATATGGTAACTATACGTAATCCTGCGTTCGGTTCAGTTCCAAAAATGGAACCTCTTCAACAAGCAGCTATAATAAAACTCTCAGAAAATGGGATGGTGACGATAAGAAGTCCAGCTTTACAACAGGCGATAAATGCTGGTTTAACACCGCCTCCAAAACCGGATTTCATTGTTAAAGGGGATTTTGTAACAGGAAATAATACACCTAAATCAACAACGCAATCTAATCATATTGCGGAACAAAAATGCACTAGTAATGGATTTATATCATCTAATATCTCTGAATTAAGAAACAAACTATCAACACCTCAATGTGGTAATATATCCAGTTTTGGAAATATTCAAATAAGTAAGGTAACTAACGGCCAATTAATACCAGAGAATGGAATAAATCTCAAAGGTACTAGTGTTACACTGACTAAAATCAATAGTCCAGAAACTGTTACTACGTCTAAAAAGAATAATGATAATCAACAACCAACTGGAAATAAAACAAAAAAGAAAAAGAAGAAATCAAGTGGTACAAAATCGTGTGGCGATGACTGGAATCTCGTTGGTGAGAAAAAATGATATCAAAATATCAGTAATTATTTATCATTGTTTTATTCGTGATTTTCCTTTCGAAATTCACAAATTTATGTAACTCAATTACACATATACATGCATGTATGAGTAATATAAGCATATAGTGCTAGAAAACATTTTTTAATTTTTTTTTTTCTCTTAATGTTCATTTCTTTCTCAATATATAGTTTAGCTACTTATTCTATTGTTTAACTATTATTCTGTCTGTTAAAATTGTGCTACCAAATAAATATTGAAATAGATATTAAATAGATGATTTAATAAAAGCAATATTTTTTCCAAAAATACTTTTTCGTTCATTTTGAAAGTGCATATTATGAATATGCTCTCCCAAATATATTTTATCACGATGAACTTTCAAATATAACTTTTGAAAACTTTCATATCAATTAATAAATGTTAATAAGTACATGAATATTTATAGAAATGATCCATAATCCAAAGTATTGAAGACATCTCTTTTCCAGAGAGTGTATTCACGCCAAAAGATATAGACCTTGAGGACGGAGAAATGGATGATGCTGAACGAGAATTGGAAGCTTTCAAACGTTTCTGCTTACAATCAGTACCACCACCACGTAAAGAAAAGGTTAATCTCAATATTAAGGACATTGTCTTAAAGAAAAAATCATCATCTACTGCCGCATCAGCAGCAATTATAGCTGCTAATTAAGTTTAATTACTTTTATCAATATATTCATGTATATAATAATATTAATAAATAATAATAACTATAATAAAACTGCCATGATGGTGAATACTACACACGAGATAAAAGAGAATCATGAAAATGATGAGTATAATATAATATTGAGAAGATTATTGTTCCAGATAAGAGTTACAGTGAATAAATGTACATATTAATAGTAAGTGAAGGCTATCAACCTTTCATTCATGATCTGTAGATACGAATAAGTTATTAACAGATTTATTTCTCTGATTATTGATTATGATTACTCCTTTTTTATCAACGTACAAACGATTAGTTTAGAGTTTGTCAGTCCTCTGTAGACATGTATATCTAGATTAAATTTATATGGCTTGTGTACGTATTAAAAAAATAATTATAATGACATGACAGCCAACGACAGCACATGTCTAAATACATTTTACATTGCATTTATATACAATGTATAGATTAAATAAATAATTATTCATTTTTCACTATGATTTAGCTCAAAAATCTACAAATTATGTATTTTATACGATCAACTTTAAATCTTAATTGTATGTAATTGTGTATATCACTGAACAATTAACAAAAATAAAAATTAAATAATAAAAATGATTTTTAATTCTAATGCATTGAAAGAGGTATCAAATTATCATAAATGTTTAACTAACAAGATAGAGTTATATAAAATAATAGAACAATTTAACAATCAAATAATCATTTAAATAATATTTATTTTCTTAAATTGAAATGTAATGTGATTGCAAATCTTTGAGTGTATATAACCGATACCGTAATAGAAGTATATTGTATGCAGTATGACTTTTGCGTACTGTTCAATACCACCTATTTTATATTCATCAACAGTGCTGTCACACATGTGACATCTTCTGTCATGGGTGTCATGACCACAGGCGCCAGATTGGCGGCTTCTCACTACATATTATTTCTATTCTACTGTTGAATCCTGCTTACATTAATAATACGTCGCGAACATGAACATGATCTTTATTGCAGAAAATACATATTCTCTGCGAGTCACTTTCAACACTGTTGAGAAATTTAATGTAGAATTAACTGATATGTCATTGAATAAATTAAATAACGATTGATTATTTTTGTTTGTGAATTTTTAATTTATTGTCATGTATCAAGTATTTCGATAAAGAATGTTATCGATGAGCAGATGAAATATTTACAAAAAAAGTAACGATTCATCATACTTTTTTATTATTGTAATAAAGTCTTGTCAATAAGTCTATAGAAGCCTATAACTTTTTATTGCTTTTATTTTTGAACTTTTTCGAATTCACAGACAACAGATGTTAGCTAAAAATGCACTTTCAGATTGGAGGGTTGTACTTTAGTGTGTGTGTATGCGTGGATGTGTATAACGTGATATACATTTAACAGTTGTAAATATAACTTCTTGACGCTGAGACGTCTAACTGTCTGGTACTCTTGCAAAAATAGGACTCAGCTTGATTCAACGTTTCAACAATCGACGACGAAACTGCGTACACAGAATAACATGTACAATAGTTTACTGTCTTAAGTCTGGGATTTTTGTATTAATAGGGATTTAAATTTGTCATCAACTATTATTATAACATTATCTCATCGGCTAAATATTGCTCCGACTTCACTAAATATTTATAAGTTTCGACGAATATTGGAAAACGATTAAATTTATAATAAGATTTATATGGTCATTTTGATTTTTAAGTAATAATCAACAATTTAGCATCATAGAATGGTGTAAATAGATGTAATCAAACGTATTATGAATGAACGACGAAATTCATTCAATTCGAATATAACTACCTAGCGGTGGTTCATCTTAATCAACTTCCACTCTTCATTTTGGCTTCTAGTCCCAGTAGATTTCATTCTGAGCAACATTAAGTAAAGCCCGATGAATAAAGTGCGACAACTGTGACTACCGGTGACTACGAGATACCATGTGCATCGTGAGGTATATATGTAGTACCAAATACTAGGTATAAATCTAAATATACATGTATTTAAATGCTATAATGGCTTGATGCTACTACGCAGCACTTCATCCAAAATGATTTTATATTTTTAAACCAAATATAGTGAATATTCTGCTTAAGGTTGATAAAAATGTTTAAAATTCTTAAAAAATACCAATTGATAGTTTTTTATTTTTAAAAGTTAAGTATATATGCAGATGTATATAAATCTAAATCTGTACTATTTTCTCTAGAATACGACGACAAGAGAAACATAAATGCGCTCAAACCTGAGTAACAAAACTAAACCCACAAGCCACACGTTCTTCTCTCTACTTGATACTTTTGTTGGAGAGTTTATCGCCATCGACTATTTCCAGCCGTGTTTAATTGATCTTAAATAAAACATGTTTTACAGAAAATAAATTAAAACTTAAAATAGTTTTAAAATCAATCAACAATTTGTTTTATTGATATTAACCATGACATTTAAATCATTCATTGTTTTGGAGCTGAATTTTTAATAGTATAAATATCCTTCAATGACTGTTATAAATAGGTTGTTTTAATTTTCTAGGAGTAGTGAAAGAGATTCATTAATCTACGAAATTTAGACGATCGTAGATGCGTGAAATGCGGAAAAGTTGCACACCCACATGATGCTGATCAACCAAACGTGTGCCAAATGTTCGTGTGCTGGAATGCTAGTAGCATAACAGTTAACGCAAATAGGATGACACGACGTTTCCTGGATCATTCATATATACCACTGGAAAGCGACTTCCGGTTGGATAAATCACACTTCTCAGTAGCTACAAGCGTACTTCTTTTATTTCAATTACGGTGTAGTGATGTAGGTCAGGCTTCAAATCAAACTAGTAACCATGAATCAAAACAAAATTCTTGAAAAATTACAGTAAAATAATATCAGATTAATTCCAAAAATGAAAAAAAAGTAACCAAGTTGCTCTCGATTTCTTGATGTCTAACGTTGAGCTACCAGATCATCTTGAGAATATTAATAATTCTCAATCTTATCAAACGTCAACAGGTTAAGGGAAAATTTTTTTTGCCAAATCATAATGTTTATTAAAAGATTCATTTTTATTTATAAATTATAGATGAGCTAGTTGTTTTGCTACAAAATACTCAGAATGAAGCTGAAGATTCATTTAAAGACCTTCCAGTGGTACCTTTTCGAGTGGATAATAATCATGGTAATATTTACTAAGGAAACATGAGAAATAACCTTACGTTTTGATAATTTTTATCTAAGTATCCGTATTAGATAAAAAATATTTTCTCATCCATGTTTAATGTTTCATTTTATTTTGATAAAAAAATAATTTAATTATTCAATACCACTTAATATCATAAATTATGGAAAAAAATGTTTATCATGTCAATATCAATTTTTTCTAAACTTTGCTGGCTTTTTCATCATCTGGACTTTGTCATGTTTTTGAACAACTGTTAAAGCCTATTTTCCCTTTACAAATATTGAAAGTTTTCTTAAAAATCCTAAGCTAAAGAAAAATTAAATAAATAATTGAATATAGAAGACCCTTGTTCAAGAAGGAACAGTGATATGTGTAGGATTTGTCACATGGGAGGATTTCCTCCAGTAACAATACCCCAGCAAATATGGGAATGGTCGAAGCAAACTACTACAACACCAAGAGTAGATAGCCAGATCTCCAATTTTTCCACCTACGCTTATCTTGGACCCCTAATATCTGCATGCAAGTGAGTTGTTGAGCAAATATACAAATAGAGTTGATATCGTCTTCTATATCTATACTTCCCTTTAAACAAAGCCAGTGGAGATATAATAATAGCAAAAGCAATAAAATATAATGGGAATGTATTTGTAGATGTCGGGGAACAGTTGCTTTAATCCACGTCGAATGTTTAGAACGATGGTTAACGGAATCAGGACACTCACGATGTGAATTATGTGGTCACAAATATTCAACAAAAAGAGTTCCACGACATGGAATATTCCAGAGTATTTGGATATGGTTCAATACAGTTATTGTAACACGTCAGGTAATTATATATTATTATACATAGTAATCCTGTACATTGAAAAAAGGGTTTAGTAATAGTTGATTATTAATCGATTTTATCCAATACCATGCAATCCTCTTTCCAATGTAGGAATTAGTCTGATAGATAATCTTAAAAAATACTTTGATATAAAAAACAACCTTCTTTAACTCAACCAGATGATTCTGGATGTTTTATACCTCGTAGTTACTACTCCACTTGCTTTATTCTCTATTTACATCTGCGCATTGACTGTAAGAATCATGCTAAATAGCGGCTTTTATGAAATTCCTTGGATAATAATTGCAATGCTACCAACTTGCTCTCTGACTCTCATTGCTTATTGGACATGGATTATTACCATTGGCAGGTACATCACCAGGTATTTCAATGATGAATATCAATTAGAAATAAAATTAGAAGGTTTTAAAAATATTTTCTTGATTTTCAATTATTTGTAGACTTCATGGTAGACGATGGCGTCGATTCTGGCGCAACAATTTTGTCGTCAGACTCTTACCAGATGATCCAAGTGTCAGGAGTGAAGAGGTAGATACACAAAGTCACTCTGGTAATTCAACCCGTATTTTAAATGAGGAAGAACAAGTTGTTGAAGAGCAGCAAGAAGGAATAGAGTATTTTCTCTGAATAAATAACATTTTCATGCTAAGATGCAATTTAGAGTTGATGGCTTTTACAGGATTACTAAGATTGTAAGGTAAAAAATTCAATTATCTGATGTCTGATTTTTAGCAGACATTTAATTGATTTATACTGCATTTAGTAGATTTTTCAAAATTTTATCAAATAATTGAAGCATGAAAAATAAAGTCGATAAATGTTGACTAGGATTTTATTAATTTAGATGAATAAACATTTTTGAAGATTCTGAAATAAATTTTCTGAGAATGATAAATCTAAATGTCAACACTATTCGATTGTGGTATAATTTATGTAAATAAATTCAACATTTGCAATTTGAATATCACTTAATAAATCTATAATTTCTATAACAATGACTGACACAATTGTAAATGAGAAAGAGCATAGAACAATCACTGATATATCAACCTTGAAAAAAAATAAAGAAGGAGGAGAATTCAAATTGGCTTTGGTAAGTGAACTCTCGTCATGGTACATACACTACATACATTCAGCGATACAATGATGATGATGCTTGACAAGCGTGCAGTATACTACCTATATACTCGTAATGATCATACTACTGATGTGGCATTATCATGCGCGCATTAAAATGTAAACTGCTTATAAGGCGTAGAACGATTAAAAGGGTTCTCAATCTCAAATCCTTTATTTATTTATATTTTAACAGAAAAATTCAAGATGTTATTTGATTTCTCGTATGATAATTTTTTTAAATATTGGATCTTCTCTTTATTTACTTCAGTGTAGAATTTAAATGAGAAAAGAGTGGCTCTGGGAGAATCTTAGGAATGACTTTTGTTGGATTCTCTGATTATTCAGCAAAAAAAACATGGTATTTAAGACATTGATTACTGTCTACTTTCAAGCGTAATCTTATGAATTTAAAAAAAACTTTTTTCTACAAATCTGTTATGTACGTCAATGATAATGATTCATTTGAATGAAAAACCATGACTTAAAATGAACACTAAGATTCATGAAAAGAAAAGATGTTGTGAAAATTAAAAAATTCTTTGTTAGTTAGCTTTTTGACCATTTCATAAAGATAAAAATAAATTCATTGTAAATTATAATTAGTTTTTCCGACAGACAAACTTTGTCAGACTTTGACAGAGCAATTACTCTGTTGAAAATGATCTTAGCTGACAAGACTCGTTTCTTCTGATGGATAAATTTTTTAATTATCAAATATTTATTATTTTCTAATCTTCTTGGACAAGATATAGTATTATCCATATATTTTTCATGTGTCTAAGGTATCTACGAAGGTCCTAAAAATATATTACTAGTCTTTGGTAATACCAACCGACGTGATACAAATATATATGTATATACAAAACCAGAAGTAGCGCAGCAAAGGGCATCTGGTCTAGTAGCGGCTGGAAAATATAATAACACCACGTGTACCAAGCAAAGCGCGGATATACTCTAATCTTTTTCTTACATTTATTTACATCAGAGTAGAAAAAAAATTAAGGAATAATTTGTATACAAGCTGTGGAAATATTCTTTATACACACTGTATCTTCTACCATATTTCCCCTCGATCAGTTTTTTAACTTTTTATTAAGAAGTTATTGTAATGGAGTCGATTTTTGGAATTTATAGTTTTGCCATTTCTTTACGTTTCGAGCCATTTGAAAGCATATTAAAAGATTTGAAAATGGACATGACTCTAAACAATTATATATTGTTTACAACAATTTTGATTCGTTGTAAACAAAAAAAAACCAGAAAAAGATGGAAAAATAAATTGGAACTTCGTCATCAAGGTACAACATGCGCTCAAATCCATTTTTTATGTTTTTCTTCTAAATTGTATTACAAAAGATAGTCCCCAGAATTTATTCTTCGAAAAAGATAAATATCATGATGAAATTTTTATTTATAATATTTTGTGTAAAGTTAAAAAAAAATATAATTCAAGTAACAAAATATTTTCCAACTATTTCACAATCTTTATGCATGGTTCTTAAACTGCCAGTTCAAGAAAACACTTTTCGTTTTGAATCTTCATAACTTATAAATAAATATTCATCCAGTAGCTAACCTGACGTCGTTAAAAAGTTAAAAATATTTATTTCAAAACAGGTCAAACTTCTAAAGAGCCAAATTATCGTATTTTTCATTAAAGATAATTACATTTCTCTACCATCAACAGCATCTTCAGAAGCCCCTGCTAGAAGATAAGTCATTGCACTTTTATTCATTGTATTTTTAGCTTCAAATTTTAGGGAGTCGTTTGACCCTTCTAAACGATAAAAAATAAAGGGGTCTGTTTTACCCTAGTGATCTGTTACGCTCTACCTTCCTATCCCCTAAAAGCCTAGCTATTAATACCCGCATACTGCAAATAAAGGATTGCACTTGGTTTGATTTGTCATGGATCAAAAGCATAGCACTTCTACCCATCAGGATCAACTTTACATCTACTTAATAATATTAAATTCGATCAGAAGATTTATTATCATCCTTTTGTCATTTATTCAAATATTTTCCACCAAAATGAAATAATAAATTACAATATTTAACCATTTCCCAAAGCTGCATATTGAAAGATTTCTCATAACATTCTAATAAATAATAAAAGATGTATAAATTTATAAAATCCTATTAAAAGATTAACGACTTAATAGACATGCAGTTTAACAAAAAAATTGATACTGATAAATTCAGCGGTGGATCTCACCGAATAATTTACAAAAATTTATTCTTAAATCCTCTTATTGTCATTAAAAATAAAAGAACAAAAAAAGAAATACATCCGCTATATGTGAAAGCTTATTCGGAATTTCAAGTAGTACAGAAGGAGTAGGAACCACCTCTTACTTAGCCTCAACATCAGACGCGTGATGATTTTTTAAGGATTTAGATAGATATATCTTCAAGTCTTTTCCACGAAACATTGAATTTCCTTTTGAAATCTCGTAGAAGGTTCTGCATCAGTGATAGTACCGCGTGCCGACTTTAGTTATTTTTATATGTATTCCAGATACTTTCATATACACACTCTTCTATACAACCACAATATTTTTAGAATATCGATACGTTTTAGTGTCGATTGCAAAGGATTCATTTATAACTTTTACATTTCATCATTCAATATGACTTATTATTATCAATTTTTTTTTTTTAACAAGCTGCCAAGTTATATTCAAATGTCTAATGTGTAGTTTAAGTACGACACCATATGAAAGCAGTAGAATTTTACTTGGGTCATTAAAGATGGGAGGAAACGGTGACCGGAAACCACGCACAAAGATGTGACGCGTACAATGATTTGTCTTTGTCTTACTCGTAAGGATACTTATTCAACAAAAATATCATTAAAACGGTCAACAACCGCTTTCAAATATCATTTTATATGGACAATAACATTTATTGGATATTGCGAGGGAGTTCGATAGCCTTTAATAATTTTTGCCATAAAAATAATCCGACAAAATGGTAATAAATAGTGTCATTAAATGGCTGTAAATCACAGGAGGTGAAATATTAAGGTAGTATGGGCTGTCAACAGACTATCAATTTTTTCCCTATATTTTAAATAGCCCACAAAAGATTATCCTAATATTATTACAATTAATTACAATAATTAAATTAATTTTATAATAATTGATAATATATAAAATCCGATTACAAAAGCAATAATTATTTTTAACATTAATTTAACTAAATACTGAAGCTTTCGATAAAAAAAAAATTCCGGAAAGTTTATTTGTTGATGAACTACAATCAATTGTTTAAAAAACTATGGTGCTTTTCATATAAACAATTAAATATTTCAAGAACTATTTATCATAGAAAGTTGAAACTGGTCTCAAATGCTTACTGAAATCTGTCGTCACAAAAAATATAGTCATCAAGCTAAATCGATTAATGTTCAACGGACTTCCTCCAATTTTCGGCCTTTCTCAAAGCGTATTGACTACAAAGTTTTCCGGAAATATGAGAATTTTGGTTTCATTGGAAGAATAACGACCAGTTTCCTCTTGTGTCAATGAAAAAACTACGATATTTGATAATTAATCTTTGAAATCGTTAAAGCATTTTTAAACTTGCCAAAAAATTAATTGAGATTCTTATTTTTAATATAATAATAGATTTACTATTCCAAGTTTATTTTTATATTTAACCATACTACCTTAACGACTTTCTGAATATATTAAACCAAGTGATAACTCAAAAATTTTGATAAAAATAAATTCAATGTGTGCTGATTTATGAGCCTAAATTATTTAGTTAATGACTTTGTTGATTGTCTAGAGCTATTTTTACTAATTACCGAAAGTTTCATGTCTAATAGATCTATTGTATTTAACTCGCCTGTGGTTAATCAGATTGGTAGAACTTTTATGCTTAGCTGTAATCACTGATCATTAAAATTATCTTTAGATTTAAAAAAATCACATTAAATCATCAGGTGTGTAAAACATAGTAAATTAGTAAGATGAAATGTCTGAATGGAAATATAACATTTGGTAGGATAGTGTTGAGTGACATGATGAAGTTACACATGTTTCAAATGTGCTTGTCTATACGTTTATGGTTGATTTTGAATATGACACGTGTTTAAAATATGGCTTTTCTTCTTCCTTCCTGTCCAGAAGAGGAAAAAAATTTCTCTGGGTAAAAGGAAATGGTGTTACGGTAATAATGCAGTTGAAGGACGTTTCTAAATGTTGAAAAATAAATTACACAGTGGTTGAGATTCTATTTTTGTCCTAAAAAGTCTATTATAATTTTTAAACAGCAGAAAATATAGGATGAATCAATTTTGCACAGATATATTTTCAGTAATGCTGAATAATTTCTGTAGAAAAGTATCTACCACAGAAACTACTTCTGGTTCAAAACCTTGAGTAATTGTTTCGTAAACACTACAAGCAAAAGCTTTTAAAATTCATCGATCAAACAATTTTATCAACTCTTTTTATTTTCTTTAACTCATCAGAACTCGATCTTTTTACTGATTAATCATAAATGATAAAATGATTGATGGTAATGTAATTGACGATCAAGTTTTTCTATTGATTGTACCAAGTCTGAGTAATGATAACAACGTTGAAATAATTTTTAATCATATTGATTTATATCTCTTTAAAAATCGACTATTCAGACGAAGATCTTCATGATAGCAAAGAAAAATAAAATCCATCTGATTGATATAAAAACTGATAGAAAGCAGCCTGATTGAAGATGATGAGCAAAATTGAAATTAAACCAAGTTCTCGTGGGACAAAAAAATTAAATTAGCTTAATATTATCAACAATATTACCTACTTTCCTAAGTAAATGGATAATTGGTATAAATTTGAATGCTTAAGCAACTCTGATTGATGTCTGCATATGTTGTTGCATCAGTGAGAAGTGAGGAATGATAATATAATTGATGCTGAAAATTCAACAACTAAGTAACTAGGCAAAATTATGCTTATTCCAATGACTCTTGTACATCCAGATTCTTCTCAACACTTTCATTTGTATGAATGATTGTATCACTGGTACAAAGTATGAACGGATATTACTAGATAGGATACAATAGTATGTGATAATACCACGCAATAGCTAATACAAAACATCATAACCGAGAATTAAATTTATTAATCATAAATCTTGCAGAGTCATAAAATATTCAGTGGTTAAGTTATCTGATGGTACTGAAGAAGCAGAGCTAGAAATGATGCTAACTGAAGTCATGGATGGTTGATGGTGTAGTGATGATGAGGGTGTCGATGCTTGAGGGTGTTGATGGTGGGGAAAAAGAAAAATTTTCAAGTAATAAAAATGAACGTACGTGCATGTACTGTATGTATTGTATGCTTATACCTATATAGGCATGTAAAAGAGTGTAAGGATGGTTATGGTGGGGAAGATAGAATGACGAGGGTTGGCGGCCATTGGCGGCGAAAAGTGATGTGGGCGAGAGCGGTTTATTTCAAGCATCGCTCTGGCACTTCGCCCTGAGCTGTTTCCTGAGAGTTACTGAGAATAGTTTCCTTGGATAAACGTCGGTCAGTGTCGTTCTTTAAGTCGCTTGTACTAGAAGCACTTCTTAATACACTAGCCAGCATCAGCTCTGCTTATTTTTATTGTTATGTCAATTTCCAAGAGAGAGTGATAGTATCAAGATCATTGGCAATGGCCAAGAAAAAATATACACTTTATTGAGACTTTTATGGTGCGTGCTTAAATATTGTAATAGTGATTTTTATTGCCGGTGAAATTGATATTAAATATCAGCAGTTTGTTGATAATATTTCTCGAATTGGACTACTGTGTGATTTTGTTGCTAATATCATTAAACGATTATTTATGGTAAGCATTATTTTTATGTTTATTAACTTCTCAAAAATTTTATGTGAAAATACTTGATGAAGACATAAGTGGAGACAAATTACTGTCATTACCAGAGGCTGTGTCTTAAAACCTAATAAAATAATCTGATGATATCAACGCTTGGTAAATTAACGAGAAATGATATAATAAAATTTTATGCAAATTCCGTGACCATTATGCTTTATGGATAATTGAATCAAATATCATAACATTATAGTGGATATCTGGTCATATCAGGACTGTGAGTCACTCGTTTCAATTGAACCATGTAAACCATGAATGCATTTATAAATAAGTGGCACTGGTAGCACAATTGACCCCGAAATATAATGAATCTTTAGACTACATTTTCTCTAACTTGATCTCTATTTACTCTTTGATTTTATAATATCATTATATCATTATTATATAGTATAAAATAAAATCAATTTAGTGATAGAATCGTTTTCGAACATTCAACACTAGATTTTCAAAAGTGACATGATAATAAACTCATTTAATAATGAATGGTATTAAAATTCAAGAATTGAAGTTAATGATTATTACTAGAAGTTATTGTTTGCATTTTTTTTCTAAGATTTCTTTAAAATAGAAAAACAATGTATATACAATAAATAAAATTATTTTTAATAAACAATTATATTAAATATTATAATTTAATAATTATAATATTAAATAAAAAAGATTTTGGAGTAAATTTAAAAATAATTTTAAACAATAAAGAATATTTTTTAATTCAGACAATTAAAAAAAATCTAACTAAAAGAATCATTAAAATTAATTGGTTCTTAATTTAGTGATGGTGACCACTGAATGTATTTTGCAGTAATTAAATCGTCGAATGCACAATTAATGGGTTGATGGGAAAAAATATAAACGACAGTATTAGTAATAGTAGAACACGCTACTGGTTTTATCTGTGTGTGAATCAAAAGAGACAGGGGTAAAATAACAAGAAAATAGAGAAATGACGATATAAATCATATTTACAACATTCCTCGTTATTATTCAAGGAACACATAGTAATAAGTCATCAGTCTTATTTATCTACATAAAATGCATGTTCTCTATAGGATACTATGACTATTTTAATAGTATATCACACGTTTACTTATTCATATATCATTTATAATTTTTATACTGTATTTGGAGAGGTAATTTATCCATTATCATATCTTATACATCGTGTTCATGTCTTGTATGTCAACATTCTCTTATATGTGTAACGTATAAGTAAGCCGGCCGGCACGACTCTCATGACTGTGAAAAAATATAAAAAATAATGTAAAAACACAAGGAGGAGATAATAATGACGAAGAGGAACATGCGCGCACGAGCCCAACTAATTCGTTGTGATGCATCTTATATATAGCGTCTTTCACGCTAATTACTCATGTTCGTACTCCGTAATAATAATAATATACTGGAAATTTTCTCATCCGTAAAAGTTCAAGTTGTTTTGCCGTATAAAAATATTAAAGGAAAGAAAAGAAAAAAAAAGGAGCTTTCATATATACATATTCACATGTGGATTTCATAGACGATGTCCTTGTATGTTTCCCTCTTTTTTATTCGTTTAAATAATAAGTTTCACTATGGTGCACGAACAGATGACAAGGATGAGGCAAAGAAAAGACGAAATAACGAGACAAATGCAACAAGTACGAATGGAATGAGAAAGACGCGTGGTAACAGGTTATTTGCTTAAGTTCTCTTATTCTCTTGGTCTGGTGTAGCAAGTCATCCTGAATATACTTTCTGACCAGGTGGATCCTGTCAAGAGTTTTCGTATTTTATGCCGGCTCATCTGTATTTGTATATGAATATCTTGCTACAATTATACACATTTTAACTACTTGATCCTCCACTGGGAGTATTCTTTAAGATCATTATCCAACTTGCCATGTAGAATCCTTAGTAGTCATATTGGAGCTTGCTTATTTATGCACATTCGTGTGCTGTTTGGATATCAATATTTCATTTAATCATTTGCTCCTCTGATGCTCATGAAAAATTTCATGTTCGATTGCTTGTGAAACAGATTAAGGTAATTTGACATCTACATATTGGTGGTCGAAATAGTTATGATTTTTTTATTTGTTGAATCCTAGAATGCATCCAGTAAGTCTAGCAAAACAGCTCTAGACTAATATTATTAAAAACAGTCTAGACCTTAAGTAGAATCACATCCATTTTTTCATTCTAAAAAAAAATTATAAGTTGAATGCAACAGCTATCAATGAAAAATAAAAGAAAAACTTCAATTTATATAAATTGTTTTATCATCAATTGAACAAGGGTTGTCAACCATGAGGCTGTCAATGCCAAACTACCTCAAGAAGAAGAAGTAAAATGAAGATAAATTAGAAATGAGAGAAATTAATAAATAGGGATATAATAACGTATATTTAATACATATACAATCGCCAATCACTCGGCTTCGTTGCGCTAGTTCCACCAATTAACTTGTGTGTGATGACCGGCAATGATGCTTACTTATCCTTCATTATCAAGACTATTGTCAGGAGCACAAATTGAACAACAAAATTGTTGGGATTTACGACAATATTAGACTTTAGATCTTGAGATGATGCTTTCTCTCTTTCTTTAGAAATAGCACAATAATATGAGTTTAAAAGCCATTTGAACCCATATAACAGTTGTACCAATAATTACTCAGGTTTATTTTTTTAGAAGAAAAACCAGAAATGATATTTATTTTTTTTAATCTAGTTTTCGAGTTGAAAAATGCATCCTCAAGGATTATAGGTATTAAATTACTCAGATTAACATTTTAATCCACATTTTTTTTTTTTTTTAATTTAATTTAATTATTAAAATTAATTTTTGTTAAAAAATAATTGTTACCAAAAAAAAAAAAAAAGATAAATTAATGAAACAATTATTTTAAGACCCTCATTTTGAGATGAATTTTAACAAATTAAATAAAGTCTCTTTCATTTCCCCTCAACTCAAAAATATCAATTCATTATATTTCACTTTCTGTCTGCTGCAGCAGCTGTATTAGTTGGTATAAAATCTCAGACTGTGTACAAGGACTTTAAGTGGTTGCATGTACGTATATGTTGTCGGTACTTATGGGTGTATTTTATATCCACCAAGTGCTCACAATGTAATGCACATTTCCTTTACAACTTACATATTTACAGGAAAATGTAAACCAGTAAAGAGATTTTTGATAAAAATATTAATACTATGAAATTAGTAAAGTCCAATACAAGAAATAAAAGGGAGTCAGAATGAAAAAAAAACCAACCATTACCTACATACACTTGAAAGAGATATAATAAAGTCAGTGTACGCGCATATATATTACCATCATTGATTCCGTGGGATAAGTGTGTGCCTGAAATTCCATCTTGTCAGCCATGTGAACCACAAAAAAGAGTGAATATGAATAAGAAGTATAAAGGGAACATAATATGGTTAAAAAAGATTGAATTTTTTCAAAGAATAAAAAGAATAGAGACAGTCAACTACTGTGATATGTAGTCTATCTTCCAGATTATTGAATCAATTCTTTTATTATTTTCTTGAAATATGCGTAATCATCCAGTTGCTCATCATCATCCATTTACTTACTATTCAAGCATTTCTAATAAAAAAAATCTTTATTGGTAACTTTAATCAAACTCAGCAGCTGAGATAAATCTCCAATTTATGCTAATCATTTATTCAATGCTATCAAGTTAATTATTTTAATACTTTAAAACATTAAATAATAATAATAATCTCGCCTCAGCGGAGCATTTATTAATTGTTGTAGTTAGAAAGTTAGATTAATTATGTAGTCGAGAAAAATTTCTGTCCTACGTTAAAAAGGAAGTTCTTTATAGTAAATCAGACGTCTAATGCACTGCAGATGCGTCGTAATGCAGTCAACAGTTACTGAACGTATATTTTTATAACATATTTATAAAGTCATCTGTTTTAAAAGTTTTCATCAATCAATTTTAATGAATAACAATTACCATATTGCTGCTGAATAAATTCAGTAAAATGTGAATTAAAAATCAGCAGGGAAATAAGAGATTAATTGGATAAATTGCGCGTGTAAAGATATACATTTACAGTAGGAGTATTACATTATTATAAACTGGGTAAAGTTTTTTCAAGTGATGGGCATCTGTGTAGCCAGGAAACCGTCTATTATGGCCATCAGTTACAATGGTACACGTGCGGAGGAGTGTGCAAGGCCCATTCATTTTACCATTTTTACCATGAGAGGAAAAGAGGCCCTGATTTTTACCAAGGGAAATGTGCGTCAACATGCATGTCGTTTACATCTTTATAATAATATACTTTTTGGCTTACTGACTTCCATTTCCCATCACTCGAACAAGGAGCTGACAGCTCCTCTGAAAGCTAAATTTGCTGATCAATTTATAAATATTCATACATTCATTGTATCATGCTTGGACAATTGTTGTGATTTATTACAACAAGACTCTATCATTCTCGTGAGAAAAAATTATATGATTAATGATATTTTAGTACTATTTCATTTATTTTAATGGATACCTATTATTAGGTACAGGTGAAAAACCTTAATAGGTATTGAGCAAGAAAATTGATGAGTATTTTTTTGTAATAATTAAATGTTACTTTTTATGATAGTATTTATAATAATTGCAATGCTGTGAGGCTCATGAATAAAATCACAATGATAATTTGGAGTAAAAAATTTAAATTACAGTTGAGAAATATGATTAATTAAATACATCAAGAAGTTTCTTCACTTCTAATTGGGAAGTTATTGGAATGGAGTTGATTTTTGAAATTCATAATCTTGTCATATCTCTATATTTTGAGACATTTAAAAGCATATTGGAAGGTTTAAAAATTAATGTATATACGAACGTATAAACATCTGTACGTATAATTGTACGTACGTATATCAGGTTTTTTTTTCGTTTTCGATATCTTGAGAACTACTGGAGATATCGACTCCCGACAAATTTCATTCGAAAGATAATACAATGGAGAATATCTGAAAGGAGTTTTTAACAAATTTGGTACAGCCATTTTTTTTATAACAAAAAGACTGTCAAATAAGTTGAATATAAAAAACATTTGAAATAGATTTAACTTTATTGAATGATTAGTATTATTAATATGAATTATCATTATTGTAATTAAATTCGATAAATATTCATAAAATATTGTTATCAATAACTTTATGTAATCAAACAATTGTATATTATTTATAACAATAGCAATTTGTTATAAACAAAGAAAACTTTTTTTTAATTTTTTGTAAACCATTTTTTTTTTTAAGAAATGAATTTATTCAACAGATGTCTCAATTTGTGCAATTATTTGTAAGTTGGAAAATAGAAGTAGTGGTGATGATATGAATAAATTTATCATTGGAGTTTAAATTTAACTTGGATCTTAATGTGGCCATACTTGACACAGATATCTTTGCATTCAGATTTCCAAGTTGACTCTATTTTATTCTCACTTCTTTCTTGTTTCTGATTTTTTGTAAATTTTGTACTAAAAAAAAAAAGAAAGAAATTTTTCTTCCCAATCCTAAAAAAAATGTTAGCGTCAACTAGAATCCTTCAACCAGATGTTGAGAGAGTCGGTACGAATAGGAAGTCAGAGAGTATAAGCAGTTTCTTCTTAGAAACGGAACTGTGGCGCCGGTGATTAGTCGCATTTACCATGTTTTTTTGTAATGCTTTCATAAAATTTAAAACCTAATGTTCTTGAACTTGAAATTCCGCCTATAATCTGTACATGCAGCAGAGTAATACATTGAGTGAAGGCGAGAAAAAATATTTTTGTTACAAAAATAGGAAGAAGAAGATCATGTAATGTAAATATATTTACATTGATTATCTTCATATAGCCCTAGATAGCCATAACATATCTATATTATTGACTGATACGAGTGATAATTGATAGACCCAGGTATGTACTTGGAAGATAGAAACATTGTTTTTATGTAAAATAAATGTTCGCTTGGAACCAGCAGTTTATTTCATGTAAATTTTGACTGTTGGACATTGAATTTAAACGATAAATACACGTAGTCGACAGGTATATCAATAATTATTCACGTAGTTTGTACGCATATATCACGCACGTGTGTCTATGCAATCTGTACGCTTCTTTATGACACGGGAATAATAATAAGTCAATGCACGTATCCAAGATTATTTCCTATGCATATCACGAGTGACTTTCTATCTTTACTAATGCGTAGGCGAACATAAAAATGACATAGACCCAAGATGGTGTAGTAGTGGTTTTATTAAGCATGGTATACCTGCAACACCGTCTTCCGATAATTCTTAAGTAGCTATCGGTACTATTCTTCATGAGATAATGATAAATATGAGTAGAGAAAACGTGCTTAGCTATTTACTAAACACATCAAACAATGCATTGCACCATCGATTATGTGAATCTATTACGGGATAATGGTTGAATAAATCACGGGGAATGATAAAGAGAAGAAAGGTGATAGAGTTAATGGGTAAAATGTCGATATGAGAATGATTTGTGTAGCCAAAATTCTAAGGATAATTATGTTTATCTCTGGGTTTAAGTTAACTGTGTTTATTTGCTTGAAACGTACAGTGTACTGCAAATGTATAATTAAATATCAAACCGGAAACGCAACTCTTCCGTGTAAGCACGTTCGTTAGAAGGCTGTATAATGCGATAAAAAAATTTTATATCCCTTGCAGTATATAACAATCAAGATATAATTATTATGTATTTATTAAACAAGACAAGATGTTGCATGGGTGACCATCATGAAAAATTATGGGTAGCTCTTGCGAAAAAAATTGAGTCAAGGATATAAAGTTTAGTATTCAATTATAGTTTAGATAAAAAAATAAAAATTTACGACAAACTTCTCATTTACTGGAATTCGTAATTTTTCCATATTTTTGTTTTTCTTGCTAATAATAACGAATTGCTGTTATTATAAACAGTATACAATTGTTTAATCACATAAAGTAAATGATAACAACATTTTATGAATATTTATCGAATTTAATTACAATAATGATAATTCATGTTAACAATATTATTCATTCAATAAAGTTAAATCTCAAATACTCAACTTATTTTACAGTCTTTTTGTTATAAAAAAAATGGCTATACCCAATTTGGATATGCTTCCAAATGTCTCAAAACGTAAAGAAATGGCAAAATTACGAATTTAAAAAATCGACTCCATTACAATAATTTTCTAATATGTAGTTAAAAAGAAATGTTTTATTTCTATTCACGAGAGGTATTATATTTAAATTTTTATTATCAATCTTTTATAAATGTAGTAAAAAAGCTAAATGTATCTATGGTCCTTATTGTCATCTTTATTACCTTTTATTTTATCATTTCAAAAAAATTTTTATTCCAAAGGATTTGATAAATTTTAGTCAAAGCATAATCAGTTACTTTAGGGCATATCGTTTGACCACCTACTGAATAAAATCGTTCGAACCATTCTCGAGATATTTTACGATCAACTAAAATTTTGTTCACATCAATATCCATAAAATTTAAAAAAAGGAATGATTGTAAAAGAAGAATTTTAGTACGAAAAGATTTGACAGAAATTTAAATTTCAATTCCAAGAGTAAAGCCAGTAACTTATGACTTTCTTTTAGAAACAAAAGCTAGGAATCAATGTAACAGATTTCTCAATGCCACTCGAACACACATAAAATCCTGGAGTTGTCATTAATATTTGTTCCATGTCCCTTCTTATATTTGTAATCACTTATTGTCCGTGCTATTATATTAAAATCTACTGGAATAAAATATAAGACATATTGTGGTATAAATATCATTTACACATACATATGTGCGAATATTTTAAAACGACAATATCCCAAGACATTGAGCGACCCACGTTTTAGTATATTTACACTTCTGGCAGAGCGCCAAAATTCAGGAAATTTCTTTCGTTACTTAGAAAAATATTTGAAATAATGAAAGTTACCAAAGCGATCATAAAACCACTATCGAAAAAATACTCTCAATTGTTTAAAAAAAATAAATAAATAAATAATCTAACTAAAACATTTTTTTTGCAGTCATTCATGCTGAGGTTGACGTGAATCCGAAGTACAAATCAAAAGAGGGTGCTAATCAGGATGAAGACTCGAAATTTATCACTTATCTTCATTTTAATCCTAGTTGAGCTGAGTTGGGTTCACGGAATTATTCGTAAACTTGGTAAGTCATCAATAAACTCAAAATAATAATCTATTATTAATAATTGGCAATTAATTATCATCAATGATCCCATCATAGTAAATACCTGGTTTACAATTCAGTGATTTATAGTAGTCCAACACAATGAAATGAATGTTAAATTGATAGAAACAATTGATAAAAATAACTTAAAAATATTTATTCATTGTACGCAAATCCGCGAGTGTCTTATAAATTATTATTATTCTCACGTGGAGTAACGGTATTTCAACCAACACAAGTTAAACAGCCTACACTTATACGATTGTACGTATAGTAATTTATAAATAAATAAATTCCAATGCAGATTTACGCGGCTTTACTTGTATAGATTGGCCAATAATTATATTATTTATACGCCAATCTCACACTATATTTATATAAATTGGTTGAATTCGCTGAGGGGCTGTGTAAAATGCAGATAAAGTCAGCTATCTATTGAATAGAGTGTCAGTAAATTAGCATTTTAAACAATTTTTCAGCAATTTAGTCCTTATGTTGTATTATAATAAATATACTTAGAGATAGATAAAGTGAATAAATTTCAATAAAAAATTTATGTTAAATCGGTTGTCTTGAATAAATTGTCCCTTCGATTAGCATAATCAAAGATCACAGTAAAATGCTATACAGACTGTCGCTATTTTCATTATCTTTTTTACTCTCTTTGTCCTTGGTTTATTTTTGTCGCCTTCTTCTATTTCGCTTTTTTTCCCCTAAAGTCTTATATAGTGTAGAGTCTTGTTGTACCTAGGCCCTGAAATTTTTGGCGGTTAGAAAGTTGTCATGACATCTGGTTCACAGATCCACCCACTATACGACATATTGGTGTATATGATAGTAGTGTTTCAGCTGAGATTGCTTGGGAGACTGCAAAAGTGTTATGTTATGTTGAGAAAATTCGTTGAAGACAAACCTGAGCCTCCAACTCACATGTGTCTATTATTTCTTGGTCCCTTATATTTGTCAAAATATAAACAATCAATCTTCTTGGACGTTGAAAAAATATTGTTACTCATTTTTATTGAAATGCAGCTAGGAATTTTAATAGGATTTTGTTGACAAAAAAATAACACCATTCTGCAGATAAAGTTGTCGTTTGGCATGTATTTATCACGTCATAGGGTCGAGTTTGGAGCAACCCTGAAATTTGCAAATAACTAAAAAAATATTCACTGACAGATTTTTAAATACTTAAGAAGATGTGAAAGGATATAATTTTAATTCTCTTTTTTTTCCTTTCTTATAAATATAGAAAAATAAGAATGTAATTTTTTTTATTTCAGTTGAAAAATATTATTAAACCCAACTGGTCATGTCAGTTGAAATCGTTCATCTTAAGTTGTCTGCAAATCTCAGGGTCACAGAACAGATCAGATTTAATTTTTGAGCAGCAAAATAACAGCATCACTAATAAAGTTACAAATACAACTAAAAGTTGTAATATTTTTTATGATCACATAAAACTAATTCACTACTATAAAATACTGATAAAATCATTTTTTTTTTTTAAATTACAATTTTTATGAGACAACTATTAATTGCAATTTCAACATCTAATCATTAATAAATAATAAAAATTATATTTTAGCAAACTTTTCCTAGACAGACTTGGATAATTAGATTATGAAATTGCTTTCAAACTTTCTTTCTTTGTTTCTCTTTCTCTTACTGATATGTACATACATATATCTATATATATTATGATTAGGTTCAATTGTCCAATTGTTAGGTCATTTAATGTCGCTCTCTTCAACTTTATACGTATAACGAATATAAAAAGTACATATGATGTATTATAGTTTACCCTCGTTGACGTTATGTTATTAGCTGAACATTTATTTCCAAGTAATAATTCGTCTTAACCGCCAGTGATTAGTGAAAATATAAAAGTAATAAATAAGACTGCATAGTTTCATTATAATCATCAATCACGTGCCAACTAAATCTTACTGAACACGAAGTTTAATTGAAAAAAAATTATTATTAATAATGAAAGATAGGACAGTTGATGCTACTGATATGATGCACAGCAACTTCATTTTATACTTGACCAGATAGAAGAAATGAGAAACACTGGTGTAGTAATCCTGGATGTCCATTGCCCATTAAATGTATTCAACGGCGTAATGGTGGTTAATATTGCCAATTGTACAATGGAAGAAATGGTGCACAATTATGGCAGAATAATAGCAATCTCATAAGATTACAGTTACTAAATATTTTTATGCTTCATTCAAGAAGTTTTCTCATTTTTAACTTTGTGATTTTTATACGCGAGATATTTGTATAGGAGCTAATGTATCTTTACAATAAATTTGCTTTCAAAACACATGATTTAAAATAAGTAAAAATTTATTTACGGCCAACACGTGGCTCAAGAAGTAAATTAAACGATTTAAATATAGAAATTACACATACACACCAAAGAGAAACCATGTTACAGCCTACTTATACCTTAGATTTTGTGGTATTATACTTGTTCAAGTTATTTTATTATTTAGACGACGTTAAATTACACACTTTACTACAAGCATTTTACGCTTATTCTTGAGTATTTATTCAAAATAGCATCAAGCCAAAATACGAAATGTTTTCGGGTCTACTTCAAAGAAGCCACTCGGGTGTTATAAAGTAATGCAGAATTTAATCTCAACGATGCATTTGTTCTTTGTGGAGAGTGCGATACCTCCAGAAAAATGATCAGAAAAAGGTTGAGATTAAAAGAGTTTTTAAATATGAAATAAAAGTGCACATAATAAAAAATATAAATAAAATAATTAAGGTTTAAATAAAATAAAAGGACCAATGAGTACATTATTATGGAATTACCCCACAAAATTGTATTTTTTAGGAACGTTAGTTTTGAGAATTTTTTTTAGGGATGAAAATGGGTGGAGCCCATTATTATATGTATATCAACCATTCTGATGTCTAGCTGTAATACTTGCAAAAAATAAAGAATAGGATTTAAAGCCGGTTAGTCCGGTTATAATTAGCCCTACATTTTAGAATTCCAACTGTTTAGAAATAAACTAAGGAAAGTCTAATGAGATTTTTTTCTTTTTTACAAAAAAGAATACACATAGTTATAGATAGGTGAATTGAGAAGACAAGTGTCGTACAATTCAACGCTTTGGCTATTCTCCAAATATAATACATAAACATCATTCTACTATTGTACATATAAATAGTGAGGTAGACTTCACGTAATTTAGCTTTGTTTGTAACAAAATCACTGAATTCATTGAATGAATTTCAACTTGCACACCAACATTTATTCCATTTAGATATTATTATAACTAGCAAACACTCAGGTTGAAAAAAAAATAATATAATATACATTTATTAATGATAATTTATGATCATAAATTAACTTTAATTTTTGTATTTTCAGATTCATTCAACCCAGATGAAACATTGCAAGAAGGAGAAACATTGATATTAAGGTGTCTATCAGACTACAAAAATAGTATTATTTGGTACAAAGATGAAAATCAGCTCAAAAGCTCACTACCAAAAATCCGTTTGCATAAGAAGTCTTTAGAAATTATGAGAGTCCAAGCTGAAGACAGTGGAAATTATGCATGCTGTCTGAAGGCCGAGTCTAAGGAAATAGTGGAATGGCGTAATATAACTGTACTGGTAGAAAGAGCACAAAATGATGATGCTCGATATCAGCTAAATGAAAACCGGCAAATAATTGGTACTTTGGAAACAGTTGATTCTGATGATGCAATTAATCAAGTGTATGGTACCAAACCTATCAGTAAGTATTAATCATGATACTGGTTCGAATGTGATTCATTTCATTTAACTATGAATTATTTATGATGCAGATGCTCTGGAAGCTCGTTCCCTTCAGTTGGAAACTGACTTTGACAATGACAAAAGTGAAACTGGCAATGCAGGTGATCATAACGACACAGTTCCTGCAAGTCCACCAAGTTTTAATAAGACTGATGAAATGCATAGTTCTGTAGTAAAACCAGCAGGAAACGTTCTAAGATTACGTTGTCCAAGCATTGGAAATCCACGACCTAACATTACTTGGCTGAAAGATAATGAAGAACCTAAACGTGCTGTTGGTCCCATTATTATGAATAAGTGGATGCTCCGGGTTGAGGATTTAGTTGTATCTGATGGTGGCAATTACACGTGCATCGTCTGTAATATCTTAGGATGCATCAACCACACATTCAAAGTTGATATTATCGGTAAGAAATTTAATATGCATTCATAATATTCCTTCACATATTATTTTACGTGATTTCTTCATAAAATTCATTAGAGGCTCATAAATATCAAGAAAAAAACTTATTTATTCATTAGAATACTCATTAATTAATCGTATGAAAATTTTTCTCAAGTATTAAATAATGAAACATGAACATAAACTCATTCAGAGCGATTCCCGCATAAACCATACATCAACGAGGGATTTCCAAAGAATATAACAGCTTTGATCAACTCAACGGTCAGCTTTAGATGCCCTATAGTATCAGACTTAGAGCCGTATATTGAATGGATGAAAGTTGATAAATATTTAGACAATCAGGAGGATTCTCCAAAAGGCGAAGTCATTCAGGTACTACCGCAATACTTAATCAAGCGGTGGAGGTACCTCGGGACCAGTTTTCAAAACCTTGTGTCTAAAGCTTTTAGGCTCCAATTGGAGCTTATTATATTACTGTTATCATATTAATCTATATGCTTATAATTGTATCAATGTGGTCTTTGTGGTTACTCATTTCACCTGGAAAATTCTTCTTTGTATACACAGCGTTATCTGTATAGGCAGGCACATTTTTCTCTTGCTCCATTTTCTATTTTCATTATTCTCACAATATTTTCTATCACAGTTATGACATGATATATTTATAAATGCAAATTTATATTACTTTATCACATTCAGTCAATTGGTATATTTGTTTTTATGTGTTTCTATGTAATGGTATTTAACAACACATCTGATCATAATGAATTTCATGTGACCGTAGTCTGCTATGGCTTCAAAAGATAATTGAAATCATTTGGGTCTTTTAATGTAATTAGCTACTATTTCTAAAAAATAAATTATTTATCTTATCCCTCTTAATATTGGTGGTTGGGTATTCTTTCTTGGTTTAGAAAGTGTTCAACATCGACCAATTTTGACAAGAGCGCCAACCAATACCACAGTCCTGATTGGAGGCAATGCGACTATGATCTGCGAAGTTTTGTCTGATGCTCATCGACATCTTGAGTGGTACCACGGACGTCACAAATCATTTGATACCGTCAACGTAACGAACTCAAGCTTACGGGTCGAGGTTAAGGTGGGCATGTCGTTTCACATCTAATGTACTATACTTTGCATGCCTCTCTTTCTTTCTTTCTCGTCTATTCCTGTGAAATATTTTACTATTATTATTTCATTATTATATTCTTAGTTATAATTATAACTCTTTATATGTGCATTATTTTCTGTATATGTTTTAAAAAATAGAAAGCTCAACACATGTAAACTTAATCAATATTTTTATTTATGTCAATGAATTATTTTTTATTAAATAATGATTATGTTTAATTTAGCGTGGTGAAGCTGATAATCCAGAAGTTCTTACGCTCTACAACGTGACGGAAAAGGATGAAGGATGGTACACTTGTATTACACAAAACAATTTGGGAGAAACATTTAGCAGTGCCTACTTATCAGTTGTTGACAGTAAGAATTATTTTTTAAAATTATCTATAGCAATTGAAAGCTTTTCAACAAATTGTTATATGATATATTAATGTTATAATAAATATTTTAGGTATCGAGCAACCAAGGATACCAATAACAGCTCGCCCACAAGTCCTGGTAGTAAATATACTCGCGATAGTTCTTTGTATTTTCTTTGCGGTCGGAGTTGCAGTGGTTATATACATATTTCAACGTCTGAAACGTGAAAAAATGAAAAAACTACTTGCTATTGAAACAGCACGTGCTGCAGTGGTTACTCAGTGGACTAAAAGAGTTATTGTAGAGAAACAGAACTTGGTTAATACTGAAAATAATCAAGAACCCTTATTGATGCCGATAGTAAAAATTGAGAAACAAAAATCAACTGTTGCTGCTGATGATAGCAATGGAGCAAGTATTTCTGAATACGAACTCCCTCTGGATAGTATGTGGGAATTGGCACGAGAGCAATTAATTTTAGGAAGTACTTTGGGAGAAGGAGCATTTGGAAAGGTTGTTCGAGCACAAACTAATACAGGAAAACCTGGAATACCACATGTTGTTGCTGTAAAAATGTTGAAAGAAGGACATACTGATGCTGAGATGATGGATTTAGTATCAGAGATGGAGATGATGAAAATGATTGGTAAACATGTGAATATTATTAATTTACTTGGCGCTTGTACTCAAGGAGGACCACTTTATGTTGTGGTTGAATTTGCACCACACGGAAACCTGCGTGACTTTTTGAGAGATCATCGACCATCATCAGTTTATGAGCCAAGTGCAATTGGCCAAGAAGGCAAAGAAAAGAAAACCCTAACACAGAAAGATTTAGTATCATTCGCATATCAAGTGGCACGCGGAATGGAGTATCTTGCAAGCAGAAGATGCATTCACAGGGATTTAGCTGCGAGGAATGTGCTTGTTAGCGATGAGTATATCCTAAAAATAGCAGACTTTGGACTTGCAAGAGACATTCATTGTCATGACTACTACAGGAAGACTACAGATGGTAGATTACCTGTTAAATGGATGGCACCCGAAGCTTTATTCCATCGGGTTTACACAACACAATCTGATGTGTAAGTATTTTTTTCAATCAATGCTGAACATAAATAAAAGACGACTGAAAGGATAATGGTAAAACTTCTTTTCAGATGGTCATATGGAATACTCTTGTGGGAAATTATGACGCTTGGTGGAACTCCCTATCCTTCAGTACCTTCAGTAGAAAAATTATTTCAACTTCTAAGGAGTGGTCATCGAATGGAAAAACCACCTTGCTGTTCCGTAGAAATGTATGTATTTTATAATATAAATCCTACTTTTTTTCATCTTCTATGAATTTAATGATTATTATTAACTCGATAGATACATGGTCATGCGGGATTGCTGGAGTTATTTACCAAACGAACGACCAATGTTTGGAGAACTTGTTGAAGACTTAGACAGAATACTAACAATAACAGCTAACGAGGTAAGAATATTTAATGTGAATTAAAAAAGATTTGGAAAATTTATCAATTATTTATGATGTTTATCTTGATCTCTAGGAATATTTAGATCTTGGCCTACCACAATTAGATACTCCACCTACCAGTCAAGAGTCTAATGATACAGGAGATAGTGACGATGACGACAATGACAATGAAGAAAAATTTCCGTACCTGTTATAAAACCTGATATTCATAATAAATAGTCGTAATGTTGTTAATATAAAAAAGCACCACAATCATGATCATCATTAAGTGAATTTGAATAAGTGAAATTGAACAAGCAAGTATACTGCTTAAGAGTTTATGTGTCTAAAATGTGTGAATGATATAAAAGATGTACGCCAAATGATTTAAATCAGTATTGACGACAGAGCATAATGAATAAGATTTCAATTGTTTTTTTTTTCTAAAATTAATAAAAGTAATAGAAAAAAAAGAAATTCTTATAAAGCATTTATATTTATAAATTTCTTTTTTTTCGTTATTGTTATCAAGAATTTAAAAAGTGCCATTTAAAGTGCCTTTGTTGTTTGGCATGAGATATTATTGACTAAACGTGAATAAGAATCAATTCATATTCATTAATTATTGTTTTGAATATCGAACGAAAATGGAATAATTTTTGTTTTTCAACTAGTCAATTTATATACATCTTTTTCTTCTTTTCTCATCTAAATAGGTTGTTTAATTTTATTGTGTATTATAATTCTGACAGTTAGATTGTAATTTTTTAAAAAACTTTGACATTCAATGTAGTTAAAACTACGTAAACAAGTAATTTGTATTACAAAATGTTCATATTTATCCATAACTAACTTTACACGTACACTTTTTATTATTGATGGTATTTTATTTAAGTAATTAAAAAAAACCTTAGCAAATATTAATTTAATAAAATACAGTATACCTAGGTAATAGTACGTATTTTTGTTAATTTTTTATTCATTGTATAATTATAAAATAATTGTATGCACTGTTTGTTTAACGGCATTAAGCACGTAGTATTATTATTTATAAAAAATCATTCAACCAGAATAAAAATGAACTAATATAATTGTTATTAATAGTTTGTATGTGTCCAAAAATAAGTTAGACTCTAAGTATTATTGTAAAAAGTGTAATTAATGTGAAAATTTAGGTGGTTTTTTTAGTAATTATATCAATTATAATTTACAGCCAACATAATAACGTAGAAATGAATTGTAAATATAATTGTAAATTTTGTCATAAACAAACAAATACATCAAGTACAGTATAATACACCACAAAAGTTATAGCTGTATCTATATATATTTAGTATGAGAAATTCACTAATAAAAATAATTCAAAAAATTTTAATTTATTTTAATTGATCTAAGATCAATGCGATTGAAAAAAAACCCTTATTCATATCTTCTAATAGTTGAGAATAAATTGTATTAATTATATAGAATGTACTTAATTTATCAGAATTATATTTATTTAAAACCATTAATTACACTATTTAATTAAAATAAAATTTCTTTCAATTGCTATGTATTATTAGAATAATCTTGTTTTACATGTTGAGAACCCCTTGCTCTAACATATTCATATTGATAGCTTGATCAAGTTGATCAAGCTTAATGTCACAATTATGGGTATTCTTTCTAACCATCAGAATACATTACACATAATACTCTTATACACACATATGTACCTAAATAGCTTGTGAGAAAAGAAAAGATAAGTTGGAGTGATTTTATGGGATATCCAATCTGTACAAGCATCAGACGGCAGTGGAGATTAGTTAATTTTCTAAGAGATAAGAGCTCTTATACTATCACTAGCTAGAACATGTTGGTGGTAAGCTAGCCAATGAGAATAATCACCTATCAATAATCCTTTGACAAATTTTTATTATAAAACATTGAAAAAATTTTAATTGTAAATAAATTATTGATAAGAAAATACGTGTTTTCCTAAGTAGAATATTTTTTAATTTGATTATTGATGTTGATTCGTTAATAAATTGCAATCATCAATGATAATGTGCAGCTTGTTGGAGCGTAATATAATTATTAAATAAAAATATTGAAACACTTACCACAGCTAATTGATATTATTATGCAGCTATCAAGTTATTATGCAGAAAAATCTTCGACTGGTATTGAATATTTATCAAATATTCATAGTTATAATTTAATATATTTTTATTTTATATTAAACTGTATGGCAGTAAATGAAAACATTGTTGTTACTTTAATGTAACAATTTTTTTTTGATTTATGTGAATACATTATATCAAATACATATATTGTTTTGATAATAAATAACTACATAAGACTGGTAATTTTGTTAGAACAAATTATGAGATATTAATAAAATATTAATCTCAATAGCATAAAAATAATCCGGAGCATCTTTTTATTGCGACAGTTTTGTGATTCCATAAAACATTATGGCGGGAAAATGAGTCGGATGGACGCGTGTCTCTGCAGTCAATGACGCCACTAAAAAAAAACTCTGAAGGTAATAATAGAGAATAAAAATATTTACTCATGGTAATATCGAATTCATTATTATTGATAGCATTAATCAAAATCAAATTAAATGGAGGTATAATAAATAAACATTTCAAATAATTATAATATTAATTATACATTATTTTATAGATTATTTTTTTTACAAAATTTCAATATTTACAATAAACAACTTTATAATTTCTATAAAACATTGTATAATTTTTTTATAATAAAAAATCAAACAGTCTTTCTCTCTAGATGTCATTATTCTTTAATTACAGTAATTAAAATCATCCTCTTAGCCTTCTGTGTGTTTTCTTCGAACATGGAATTTATCCTCGTTGAAATTGGTAAGTTATTTTAGTCATAATTTAAGCTCGCTTGTCTTATTTTTTAACAATTGAAAAAATTAATTACTCGAGTCAAGTTTTTCAATCCGTAGTCGCATTTTGTTTTCGTCATCGTTAAATTCAATAATGCATAAGTTAATTTTTTTAAATTTAATTATTTATATACACATATACATTTAATATTCAGTAAATAGTTTGAGAAAATAATACAAATTTCGGCACATATAAGTATACATACATTTATGTACATGTGCATATTGTAAAAAGTGAAAGCTTATAAAAAATATTCAGTATACTCGTGATTGGAGGATGGCTTTTTGTAGAACTGATGTAAATGTCAGATTAACTTGATGACATAATATTTCTGCGGATTTGTCACCAAGAGCAGCTTGTGCTGAACTGACTCTTCCAAGTTGCAAAAGTAACCCGGTGATATCTTCTGCTAGTGGCGGAAAAGCTAAACACATTCTTGTAAGTGCCGACAATACTGGCATAAAGAGTATGACTCTATCTCGCGCAGGTAAAACTCCCAGTAAAGTGATTAGTGTATTGATTGCTAAACGGGAAACACTCAAGGCTTTCGGTAAGGCATATTGAACAGCAAGATGTGATGCTAAATCTACTGCAAATATTTGCTTTTCCGGTTCTGCTTGAGACAATAATTCTGGTATCCAATCTAAACAAATGTGCATTGATGGTATACCGGATACCGTAATTGGTAAAAGTTCTCGTGGATAACCCTGTAATATTATAGAATAATAAAATTATTTTTAAACTATTCAAAAATTTTTTTAAAGTCGCGAAAATTTAATATTTACCTGAAAGTGTACTAGTTTAGCGAGAGATGGATCACTAATGAACACCTGATGCAAATACGAACATATAACACTTCTAATTTCTCGTAATGACCACATTTGACCGGGTACTAATGCATCTTCTTCCGTTTCTAAGCATGCTTCCAAAAGTATTTGAACAGCAGCACTCTCTTGACCTGCAATAAGTGCAGTTCTAAGATCTTCCCTTTCAGTTTCACTCGTTAATTGGCCAACTTTTTCAGTCAATGGTCTGTCTTGCATGTGTCGTGATAATTGTGACCTTGATGCTGCTAGTGTTGCTTGGAGAATCCTTTTTCATAAAAATGATGTATTATTTTTTTTTTACTTTTTTTGAAATAGAAAAAAAATTTGTTTATTCTTACCGTAAAATAACAGATAATACTGGTGCACATCTGAATACTCTTGTATCACATCGGAGAACTTGTAGTGGATCAAGAACAATATTTTCCTGAGTTAGTTGAATATTTTTGACCGTAGGGTGACTACTTTCCATTAGTAGTGCATTAATTGACATAACCCAAAGACATCGAGGTAAAACGGTGTTTAATCTCAACCATACTTGTTTATATAACTCTAAAAAATATTTGTAAAAAATGTTAAAAATTGCAGGTTTTCTTTTTTTAATGAAGTCAAAAACAAAATTTACCTTGAATATATCTCGGCACTTTTTCATCTAATACCGTCTTGAAATAATGAATTATCGTCTCACTATAGGCCCAAATTTCTGTTGGTTTCATTACCATTAATTGTCGCAAAAGCCTTCCGGTTCTTGAAGGACAAGTTTTTATATGTTCAAACGCTTCCATAATAGTAGTGTCATTAATATCCGTAATATTATCATAATTAGTTGAATGACTGTTTGAATAGTTATCAATATTAATTACTTCATCATCTATCCAATCATCAACAAGAGAAAGATGAGGATAATGAGTAGCTAATAATCTTAAAAGTGGTGGGAAAAGATTAGCATAATTCATTTGATCCCGCTGTGCTTGTTGAAGTAAATATTTAATGGGTAATTCCGCGAGAAACTCGACAGAATAACATTTCACTTTACGACCTTGTGCTAAAAAATTTGACATATTTGACAGTCTAACATCCTCATAGAGTAGTAAATAATATAAAAATAACAATTGAGACGTTAATGATGGTGATTTTGTATTCGTATCCGCTACATTATTTACACTATTTGCACTGTCTACATCCATATCATTTTTGTTAATGTTATTTTCTAATTCACTATTATCATGATCAATATCCATCTGAATATCATCATTATTATTGATATTATTTTTACACCGATCATAATTGTCTCTTTTGTCTTCTACTTCACTGTCATTATAATTATTGGTAAAGTTGTTACGAATATTGTGAGGAGAATTAATTTCATGAGTACCATTATTTATACTATGATCAGAATTACTGCTATCAAGACTATTCTTAAACACTCTTCGGATTTCGTCTTCAGTAATTGGCTTATTGGTGTGCTCAGCAGCATTTTTATTATTTATAACAAGAATAGAATTAACGTAAACTTCAACAAGTGCTGGTAAAACAGGATGCAATGGTTGTACACTGTTACAAATTTGTCTATAGATCCAATTTTTAATAGGTACTCGGTGCTTAGCGAATGCTCGGGATTTTAATAATTGATGAATACAATGTACTGGTAGAAAACCAGGAATATTAGCATTGAGATTAGCAGTTACAGGTACTTTAACAGCATGCGCTGTAACAACTTGTTCAGTAAATATTTCTTGCATGAATATTTGTTTCATTCGAGTGAGATTATTAGGTCGGATAGGTATCTTCATTCCTAGAGTAGCACATACAAGATCACAAATTGCTGATAATTGATTACTGTGAAAATGAATTGCCATTAAAAGAAGCATCTCGCCAAAGCTGGCTGACACACCAATGGCGTTCTCAAAATATGCTTCTTCTTTAACTAACCACTGAACCCACTCGATACTTTTCTTTTCAAGATTATGATGTCCAATAAGTGAAGGACATGCAATTAACATGCAGAGTCCAAGAGACACAAATCTAACACCAGCTGGAGATGGTGGTGGATGTGAAGTAAGCAATTGAACAATCATTGTAATTTCTTCATCTTGAAATTTTATACCACCAATTCCTCGTAAAGCACAATAAAGTCGGAGTAAAGCACTTGCTTTGACTACTTGTGACTCAGCTAATAGTTGACTATCTCCTGATTTATCTGCTACAGATATGATGGCTTGTAATTGTCTCAATAATTCGTCTCGTAAACATTGAAGTGCAGTGTGTGATTCCCATTTTCTTTTTTGTCCATTTCGGATAAACATTGCAATCCATGCACGAACTTGTTGATCGTTACCCAATAGTAGACCTGATACAAAACCAACTACATCTACATCTGCAATAGCTTCCAAACTAAGAGTTATAGCTAATGCTGGCATTCTGCATAGTTCTACACATTTGGTACGAACTGCAAGAGCTTGACTAGGATTCATTTTACAGAGCATAGTTAATGTTTGGCTCCGAATTCTGCCGAGTGAAGATTCCTCTTGTCTCTCACCATTTGCGATTAAATGAGTACAAACTTCCGAAAAACTATCTGGGCTATTAGCAACTACCCAACATATTATATCTGGTCCATGTTTTACATGAAGAAGTGTTTCAGCGATATCTTTTATTGACAATAAAGCTGGTAATTCAGCTAGTGCTATACATATCACATAACTTATTTCTTCCATGTATACGATATTATCGAATAAATCTGATTGCTTGATTGCAGTGAGTTCATTGTTCCTGTTATGATTTTCTTGAATCTGTGATGATATGAAAAGTAATTCACTTAAAACTAAACGAATTTTTCGAGTAGACTCACTGCGTTCAAATTCCAATGCTAAGCCTCCTTGAAGTGACTGAGCTAGTATACTATCGCCTTGGGTATTACCCAATTTTTGTCTGAAAAAATTTTAAAAAATTGAATAAGACGCTGGTGCTTCATACTTTTTTTATAGCATAGTAAACAAACTAACCTCAATTGTTGCTCTCTCCTCACGTCTGTCTCCAGTGCATGAAAATCGATAGACAACAAAGCGACGATAGAATTTACTGATTCAATACCCGAAAGTATTTTGAGGATTTCTTTCCTTGCTTCCACACAGTCTCTAGTAATATCTAATGATAAGATAAGGCTCATTCGTACAAGACACGGCAAAAGAGGTCGTATTTCTTTTTGCGAACATTGCGATAGTTCACTAATATTAACATTCTGAATAGCTGTAAAAACACGTGGTGATATTGTAAGACTATTATTTTTTACTTGCATTGTCGTATTTACGCAAATAATCGACAATTATTTAATTGAAAACATTGAAAATAGCAAACATAAAAGAAAATAATAATAACAACAAACAAGGCTCCCAAATGCACTGAAAATACTGAAGAACAAAGTGACTTGAAGGAGTCATAAACATCATTGTCTAACGCTAGGTGGCGCAGGGTACATGTTCTTTGACCACCACCTCCAATTTGCGCGCATATGAATAAAATTTTAAATTCACGTTATCGATGAAAATTTAAATTGGCTCAAAAGTTTATGATTGATAATAATTAAACTAATTGTCAAAAAGCCGGTTTCATGTTTAAAAAAAAATGGACTGTTTGTTTATAACGTCTTTTTGATTTTTAGAAGAAATTTATTTATAATGCAATTTTTAAATATTAATGATAACATATTAATAAAATGATACAATATAATTTTTATTATTGTTTTTTTTGTATAGGAAAAATTTTCCAGTTAAAATCTGAATATCTATTAAATCATTGTTATCACTGCTAGTTCTTGATAATTTCATTGAATAATAAATACGTAAATAGAATATAATCTCAAGTAAATAACGAAAAGTTTTCCTGGTGTGTCCCACCTAGATTGCTAATAATTATCACCAAATAATTACGTAATAATAATGTTTTGGTACACAAGTAGTAATAAATTACCACACAAAATACGATGTGTTGTTGCACAAAATAAATAATTTAATACTCAAAGTATAAAAAGGAATGCGCACTTAAATAGAGCCTAAATCAAACTCATTCCTTTATGTACACATATGTAAATGATTACAAATCTTGTGTAATAAACTTGCATCTTAAAAAAAAAAACAAAAAAATAAAAGATATTACTTTACAATCACTTTAATTAAACATTTTTAGATTAATATTTTTATTAGTATTTATTAATCAATAAGTAATGCAGTACTTAAATACATCACGTATTGATAATAAAAAAATTATTTTAAATCCATACAATAACACTACATGGAGATGAATCTCATCAGACGATGAGACAATACTTCTTCTTGTATTATTGTGGAAAATTCCCGTGAGCTATTTATTAATAATCCCTTTTTAATTTAATGAAATGTAAATTTATGATACACTTATTGTAAGATAAATTTTATATACTTTATGCACATTATCATTGGCATTTTTTTAAACTAATTTATAAATAATTAATATTATAATTATTATTTTTTCAATCATAAACGATTAATATAATCAACCAACTAATGACTTTTATTAATTATTATTATATTTATATATTAACAAATTATGTGCAAAACATAATACATTTTGGTTATTTATTAACAAATATTCACAGTATTAATAAATTAATGTCAAAAAAAATTAATTAGTTGATCATTTATTAATTGAGAATTTGAAGGAAATTTATTTACTTAAGACGTGAGTGACCGGCGAAAAATTCGAGATATCAGAATTATCAATTTCTAAACTTAACTCGCTTATTCGATTGCATTCATCATTAAAAAATAAATAAATAAGTTCATAGTCAGCTGACTGAAATATCAAGTAGTAGTAGGATCCCCACTTTTTTGTATCATAAGATAACAACATTGCACGCACTTGCATGCTTTTAATTTATACATTAAACTCACCATTTGAAGTCTATGACACCTGTGAGCAACACGTAATAAGAGGACGAGATTTTATACTGAATCAGGGAGAAACAGATTGAAACTGAATACATTCAACCACCACATTTTATTAACAACAATCAACGAAAGATTTATTCTTCATTTAAAACTATTAAAAAAAATTTTTTTTTTTTATTTAAATAATAATAAAGTAGAAATTTTATTTTCTACATTCTAGTGTTTATTAATTAAATAATATTGTTAAAAATTATCCCATGACTCCACCAATAAAACGAGAAGGTAAATTACTTGACATTGATTTCTTATGTGTGATCACTCTAACTATCTCTTTTATATTAACTTGCAGCTTTTATTTAATAATTAACTTGGACTTAAGGAGATTTTATAATAACATGAAACTTTGTATTCTTGTCACTAATCACTTTCATTCTTCAATATTCTAACAGTAACGACAGAGCCGATTTACATCGATAATACTCCACCATGGATTAATCCTGAGGATTTAAAAGATATCTGTTCTACTTTTGGTAAAAAAACAATTACTTACATTGTTGTAATATTATTCATTAATTATTGATCATTAATCTTTAAAAAAAAAAAAAAATACTTTTTTCACATTAAATCTTTGCTTTTCTAACTACAAAGTATGTATACGTGGTTTCTTATGAATTTCTTCTGATAAATATTATCGAAAATGAATAGTTATATCATAATAAAAGAACAAAAATTATATGCAAATGATAAATGTAAAAAAGAATCTCAAGTATTTTTTTAATTTTCATCACACTTTATCTATAATTTTGGTGTTTACTGGTCAATCATTCACTTCGCTGAATACTTCTAATTAATACAATTTCTAAATCAGATTCTTTTAATTCCGGGTAAGTATAAACAATTTTTACAATTACTTGATTCCTCATTTTTGCCATTAAATTGCAAAGGTTATTTAATTAAAAAAAAAAAAAAAAAATTAAATTCTTGATTTTAGAAAATTTTTATGCAGAAAATTTAATTCTGTAATTTTTTATTGATAGTCTGACTTACTCATACGTACATTTATATACATGCATAATTGAATGAATAAGATAAAGCACATTTGCTACTTTTGATGAAATTATTTTATGACGTATTATCGTCGAATATATTACTACACAGTAGATACCATAGATAAGATATTTGATGTACATAAACCGAATACTTGATCACATATGTGTTGAATTCTTTAGTTATTATTTTCTCCTTCGCCACACTTGTTAATCTCATATTGATATTCTATTTGATAATGTAATATCCAACAGTAAAATGATTTCTAAATATCAAGTTCAGACTCTATTCTCATTCATATTTATTTTTGATAATAAACTTTGGTAATCCACGTAATAATAGAATCTATGTCTATTTATACATCAAATATTAATTTTTGTATGACCATTCTTTTATGAACAATAAAAAATACACCAAGATGTACTGTATTTACTGATATCATTATTGATCTTAAATGTAGTTTTGATGAAACTTTTAATTAAAACATGGATATCTTGGTGATATGTAAACGTATATATACTTTTTTTTGATATGTTGCGAACACATATGTACTTTTGAAAATAAGAATGATGCAATTTTACAATGAAATGAAGTGTCAATTGTTTGTGTTGAGATATAAAATTGATTAAAGGAAACAAAATGATATATCATTTGATAAATACTTCATAGATGAAATTGAAAAAGCAACACCAGAAGGCTCTGCTGACTTTGAAGAGGCAATTAAACTCACCGGCTATGGAAAATTCAATTATTTATTGCTGCTTGCTATTTTGCCTGCTGGCTGGGCAAGTATTTACGGATCAACATCAATGTCATACATTCTTCCTTCAGCAGAATGTGATTTGAATCTCACACTTTTTGATAAAGGCCTTCTCAATTCAATGCCCTTTGCTGGTGAGTATTTTGAAATATTTATGGTTACTATTTGTTTTAGTTTTCACCAATATTTTTCAAGATATTGAAATATTGTATGTCACTATAGAATTTATTACCTTGAGCATGTGCTCATGTCGGTGTATACTGTTTGCTTTAAAATTTTGAAAATACAAGCAAATCATTAAATTACGTTATCACACTGTCAATTATTTATCAATTTATTTAATTGATTTGATGAGTCATTAATTATTGATTGCTATTATGACAATATATCCGTGATAATATGTTCGGCGAATTTTTAATTTGAATGAAAATAATTATAAAAATTATTGGTATTTTTAAAATTTTTATTTTTTTGTTTTCTAAAAAAAAAATTCCGTTACCCAAAAAAATTACAAAAGGATAATAATAAATAAAAGGTGATGTATTTAAATTTCTTTTTCAGGCATGATTGTCACCGCTTTCATGTGGGGTTTTCTAACTGACATGTATGGTCGTAAGAAAATCCTATCTTGGGGATATCTGTTGACATTTGTAATAAGTTTAGCAAGCTGTTTTGCCCATAAGTCCTGGCTTTTAATATTATTCAAATTTCTCAGTGGTATTATGTAAGTTGATTAAAAATAATATCACACTATTTTTATGTGATATTTTCAAGTTTAAGACTAATGGTAATAAATCCTGTTGAATTAGAATATCTGGGCCGTATGCAGCTTTAATGTCTTACCTTGCCGAAGTCCATAGTGAGAAGCAAAGATCCCGGATATATATGTGGCTAGGAGTTTTTTTCTCTCTAGGAAACATATCAATGCCATGTAAGTCATCTAGTCATTTTTATAAACAATAAAATACCACATATTTAACTAACTCTTTGTAAATTGTATTCAACTAATAATCAACGAGAACGGAAAATTCCCATTAACAGTTTTGAACTTTACTTGGCATTAATCTTTGATAATTGTTACCTTGAAATTTGTTTCACTTGATAACAACGAGTGTGGATTATAGTAATTAATTTATCAAAAATCTCATTGATGAACGTTGCAGGGTTAAGGCCAATTTTATCCAACATTCATTTCAAATGATAGTATGTTAATTAAACATTAAATTTAAAGACTTGACCTAGATTATATCAATATTATTATACTTTTGAAATTAACATAAACAGGCCACTGAAGATCACCTCAAAAAAATCCTGGGTAACATATTCTCAAAAACAAATGTCCCTGATAATTAAATCCTGTATAATAATGCTCCTGAGCAATGAAATGCATGGAAAACATTTAAAAAAACGTCAGAATCGATTTTTAACTCATGAGAAAATGTAGAATGATCTCTACTAGTGTTTTTGGAGTACCTATTACTCAAGGAATGATTTAAACGATGATTTATGAATTATTTCATGTAAAACTAATTCATAGTGAAGCATAAAGATGAAATGATAGAAAATGCGAATAAAAGGATTTTTTTTTTTTGGAATATTTTTGATGGGAATAAAAATGGATGGAGCCAGCTAATTAGATAAAATATTTACAACACTAATAAATAAACTTTTAATTTTTTTTCAGGTTTAGCATGGTTAATACTACCTAAACAATGGAATATATTACTATTTAATGGTGCATTTAATTTAACATCATGGAGAATATTTCTTATGGTCTGTGCAATTCCCGAAATATCAGCTTTCATAGCTCTTTCTTGGTTTCCTGAGAGTCCTCGATTTCTGTTATCAAGAGGACGTGAATCCGAAGCCCTAGAAGTTTTTCGCTTTATCTACTCCCTCAATACAGGGAATGATCCAAAGACGTATACGGTAAGTAGTCTTATTCAGTTTGATTCAAAACTCGAGGAACCGCTTCGGTTCGCGGGATCTCCTCACGATCCTTCTTTCTCTCTCAGCTCGAGCAAAGACAGAGAGAACTCGTGTCCGTTGGATCTTGTATTCACTACTATACTGTTGAATGACAGCACTTCCAATAGTAATCTGTTTTCATGAGACCACTGTTTTCATGGTTTGCTTCTTCGCCAAAAAAGCCAAAAAACCAATTTTTATGAGGTAGTGATCGAAATGAATATGAATAAGTATAAATCATATGTATTTATAACATATGTATATAATTATTTTTAAACAAAAAAAGATTCAGTGAATAACTTTAATATTTTATTTTTATTCATTAATCTGATTGTATTTATTCTACAAGTGTATGTTTATTATATTTTTTACTAATCATTCATTTGTTAATATATCAGGTCACTCACTTACGTGACGAAGATTTTGTCAAGAATCACGGCAAAACATTGTATGAGTGTTTTGTTAGTGGTTGCCGACAAATGAAACCACTCTTTAAACCACCGTTTATCATGAAACTTATTCTTATTGGGAGCATTCAACTCGGTGGAACTATCGGGTGAGTTGAATAAATTATTCTATCAGGAACCTTTGACTATTTTTATTTATCTATTGATTTACATTCAGGTCTAGCACAATAAGATTATGGATGCCTCAACTTTTTGCTATGATTGAAACTTACCAATATAATCATCCGGTTAAAGAGGATGGACACCTTGAATCGATTTGTTCCATGTTGGAATACTCGAATAGTACCTTGGAAACTGGCAATAAAAAAAATATCAGTTTAACAATAGTCGACAAAGTTTGTGCTCCGGTAAGTTGTCATCAACATTCAGATTTCGTTGAATGATGATCATAATGACACTAATATCTAATTAATTGTTTTTAGGTTATACTTAATTCGGCGGTATATTTAAATTCAATGGTAATTGCTTTGACAGGAGTCATTGGATATACATTAGCAGGTTTCTTTATCAATTGTGTAGGGAAAAAAAAACTTATGGGTATGTTTTGACATAAAAAGCTACTTATAAATAAGTTGGACAAATTTGATTGTTTCCAATAATGTTGTAAATAATTTTGGTTTAGTATTTTGTTTCCTTACTGCTGCTTCATGCTGTGGTATTTTATATTGGGCTGAAGATTCAAATGGAATATTAGGAATTTCATCAGTATTTGTTGCTCTGTCTAGTATTGGTGGTGCAGCAGTAACTAATGTTATTGTGGATCATTTTCCTACCACTTTAAGGTATGATATAACGCTGTAAAAGAAAAAATAAATCTTATAATATTTTATTTAATCTTACAGAGCAATGGCTATTGCTATTACAATGATGATGGGAAGAATAGGAGCTGTAACTGGAAATATTCTATTTCCAGTATTATTTAAACTGAGTTGTTTAGGTCCATTTATCATGATTGGAATTGCTTGCTTAGGTTTGTATACATATCATTATAAATTATTAACCATTCATTTTTATATTTTAATATTTATCTATGATTGTTTGTTACAGTGTGTTCAATGTTAGTAATGTTCATACCGTCTAAGAAGTGTGTAAAATTTGATCTGAAGAACTGAAACAATATTCATGATATTGCGCTATTTATTGTATTCAATCACTTCCGCTAGTTTAGTTGCGTTAATTTTCATTATATAGAAACCCTAAATAACAGATATTTGTAAATATTTTCTCATTATAATAATTAATGTGGTAATATATTTATGTATATACACAAATAAGGTATACATCCAATATAAGGTTTTTATACGTTTTTAATTTAAATAATATACGATGTTCGTATGTATTATATTTTTGTAAAGTAATTATATTTACAGTTGTAAATAAAATGGCTGAATTAAAAAAATAAATATAATAGTAATAAGTTATCAATAATGAAACAATTGTAATAATTAATTTTAATAAAATTGTACGTTATTAACAAAATGAAAATAATTGAAAACAATGTTTTATGTTTAATGTTTTATTCAACAATTAATCGACAAATTCGTTTTAATAATTTAATAATAAGCTTCAAAAGTTTACTGCAGTGATATTTATTATTCACAATAATTTCGGAGCTTAATTGAATTCAAAATTACAGAGATTGATCAAAAATTGATGTTACAGTTGATCAAACAGACACCTGTAGTTGCAAAAGGAAATTTAAGTTTGACGCGCCATTAGATGGCGCTAGTTTTGTTATCTGCTAATTACCTGTATGTTTTGCCCGGACCAGGTCGGCGGTCCTCGATGCCCGGGCAAATGAGCTCTGTAACTGCAAGTTCTCATTACATTTTTTTAATCATCGAAAATTACATGAACTTTGAAAACGAAAGATAGGAACTTTTTGTAGTTTATTCCAGCTGTGTTAAGACTCGAGAGAGAAGAAACAATGAAGTTGACAATCGTTCATACTCCAAAATGAAGACCTATATTTTTTTGTTTAAACCTTGAACACAGAGTGCTCCATTTTTAGGAATTAAAATTCACGACAACTATAAATGATATAGCTTAAGGATATAATACAAATCCCAAATATGAATCTGGGTTAAATATTCAAAAAAAACTGCTTTTATTTTATCTATCAACGGAAGAATGTTGTAAAATTTAAAAATATTTTTTGTGCCCAATTGAATTGATTGTGAAGGTAGTCTATTAAACAGTTTTATATCGATCCTCGATATTTGATAATCGAAATTTCTCGATTAATGTATTATAGTTTCGAAATTGAACGCAAGATTGTAGTAAGGTTGTCAGGACATTGTTAAGTCGCGTGCGCGATGAGAAGTGCGCAGTGGTACGGCGTCAAGCAGCGTCAAGTTGAGTCGACGAGTGAATTGTGAAGGAAGAGTCGTGTGAAGAAAGTGTTTTACACTCGTGTTTTTACCTATTTTACAACGATCATTTCACTTACTTGGTAAGTACGGTTATTCCAAATACTTTTATATTCATTTCCGTATATAAAAGTGACTAAAATCACCTATATCATATGTACTTTTCCGTATAAAGTATTAACGTTTTTATGGCGCTGTTTCCTATCTCTTGAATGCCCCTTGGCAGAGACGCCGGCCGGCACGAGCCATCAGTTCCTATTATTCGTAATTTCGCATGTATTACACTGAGTTTATCTATCAATTATTTTTTCACGCTCTTTATTTAGTTCTTTGATTGATAATAATCAATTATTATTACAATCAAGCATTCTGTTCAACTTATTGTCAGATAAGGACACACACACACATACACCCATGCGTGCATATATCACGTATTCATGTTAGTCGTTAAAGATATTAATTTGGCAAACTATTGTTTTGATATATAGTTTTCAATTTCTTGTTAAATTCATATATAACCGTTGGCCATGAAACATTCTTTCGACTTCAAAAGATGATGAATAGCTGAAAAATATTAGTGACAGTGACTTAGTATTTCTGAAATAGTGTAGAAAATAATGAATCAACTGATTTTTAGAGATGATTGATTTTGAATCATTTTTGTGTGGAAAAATCAATTTTTCCAAGTGTCGTGCCCCGGAACTTGGAGCTCCTGAGCCCTCCGGGGCTATTTCTTATGCACAGGAGTACGTTGTGCAGTTGGGTAATCGATTCTGCGCACGAACACTCGAGTTCCGGTTTCTATTCGTACCAGAAAGCTATCCACGAGTCAACGACTAAATCCTCAGGCGTTTTTTATACCTGATTATTTTTCTATAATCGTATCAGAATTATTTATTCCCTTATTTTTATCATTTTCTTATTCACAAAAATCATTTTCTTTCTTCAAAAATGAGCACATTTATATTTGCTCGATTATTAAAATTATTTATTCAGTGGACAATCATAATTATTTAATGATATGATTCATATCTGTCATCTGCAGAAAAGTTGTAATGAATAAGTAACATAACAGTTTTACTCGACAAATCGATTTCTCGGCACAGTTAGTCATTCACTTGTTTGTTTCAAGAATTTTGCGGTGACTCAGTGATAATCTACTATTCGATATAATTACGCTTTGACAATGGAGATATTTAACTGAGTAAATGATGAACTAACTGCATTTCCTGAAAATAAGAATTTATTAATTTTTTGTATTACATTCAATCACCGATTAGTTTCGCCAGGTTGTATCTTTGGCCTCAGTCTAGTGCACGCCATTTCTGCTGCTGTCGCGGCTCTTCTCCATATACGACCAGGCCGCATTCAGCGGTTCTCAGTTAATTTTAATCCTTCACAAGTCTTGATAGTTTGCGTGTGATTATCCCAATGAGTAAGTCGCCATCACTTGATGCGTGAGAACCATCAATTTAACGCGAAAACTGGTTCTTTCGAGAGAGATATTGCGGGCAGCAATACATCCAACTATACTACGCCACCACCATCATCTGCTAATCTTTTTTTTCTTAATCTTTCTTTTTTCTATACATACATACATACATATATAGATATATACATATATATATGATACTACAGCAGATGTATACTTAAATAAAATCAATATGGGGACACGAAATTTTTTTCAAGTGTTTTCTTTTCTTTGTTCGGACGATCTGACGGTCTTTTTTTCCTGATCATGGCTTTCACTTCTATACCTGGATCAAATCATAAAAATTTTTTAGATACAACATCACTGTTTCTGCAGCACGCTAGACTTAATAAAAAGGATAATGTTTTAAATTAAGGGGAAACAGCCAATGGGTTCTAAATTATCCATTGCCATTTTAACCTACATTTTTAAATATTTAGCAAATCGATTCTCTTCTAGTATTATATTTTTACTTTTAATTTAAAGTATCATAAAATAAAGAATTATTTTTCCACTGTATTATTTTTTACTGTTGAAAACTGTGATTAAGAGTGAGTAATCTTAAATGTAGGTTATTTTTGTAGAGCTCTAATCCATGTTTTTATAATAATAATTATTTTTTTTTTTTTATTTTTGGAGTAATAAAAAAAAGAAGCGCTTTTTTTTTAAATGAAGTTTGACACAATAAATTTGTTCTCATTAGCTCTCATAATGAAATAAAAATAATTTATTACTAATTAAAAATAAATCCAACTATTATTATACCTAATGGATTATAAATAACCTGTACAAATATTTTTTACATTAAGCTAAATATTATTTTTCATCGTAAAATATATTGTGCTCCCTACCATAATGGTAGCTATTTATTTTCCGAAAACCTAAGGTAAAATTTCATGTTCCCCCTTTTATGGTTGGATTTTATAATAATTAAAGTGAGGAAAAATTCAGATAAATTGGTCTTTTGATAAAAATAATAAGATGATCGATAGCCGTCGATAAAATCAGAGAAAAGAGTGAAACGAATTATCCCAATCACTTGAAGTAAGTTATAATAAGGACTTGAAGCTTGATTGCTGTACGAGACAAGGTTACACGTGTGTCGCGAGTGAGTCTTTATCCTTCTGGAGCGAGAAACGAGGGGCATCTATGCTTATTCCTCTACATTGGGCTGTGCTGCGAAGCGTAGATGAATCGCATGGGGGTTATGGGGGCACTGAAAACGTACGAACAGCAGCTGTTCACCATTCGTGTTCTAATGTATACTATATATACAATAGTCTCTCCCGTTTATCCCCCTTTCTCCCCCGCATTTTTCATTCTCTCGAGCTGAAGAATATAAGCGGGTGAACAAGTTTTTCGCTCTTAACTTGTTATTGATTCCACTTTATCCAATAGATATGTGCTCCAACTATAATAATTACGGTCACTTTGTTTTTATTTTTGCTGATGTCCCTCTTTTCCGAACCGCATCTTTATCGTCTTATTGATGATGAACTCGAGCAAAAACATCATGTTTTTTCTTTTATAACTAAGAAAAGACATTTTTCTTCGATATTTTTTCTAATGGATGATAATTATTAGAATTAAGGTATGTCGATCACTCTAGGTCGTATTAAAACAAAAGATTCTGGGCTTTTTGAAATAAATTAATATTTTTTTATTAAATATACACATTAGATTTTTTGCATATTGATTAATTTTTCTTCTATTATTTTTAAAAATATAAAACAATTTGTTATATTAAAACAAACATTTTATTTTCTAATAATTTTTTATTCTAATGCAGTAAAAAAAAATTAATATTAATCGAAATACTTCCTTGTGGAGTATTAGATACGTTGAAATGATAAAATTGCATATTTTATTTAACAATCGATGAGTGCCACTCGATGAATAATATTTAGCACTTCATAAATATATTTAATCCTAGACTTGTATTATGTTACATAAATATGCCATTTTACCATCAACGCCAGAAGTTATGGGGTGATAGTTTCGGAGAATTCATTATTCCATATATATGGAGTTGATCATCTATTTTTAAAAAGATTCTCCTACTATGTCATAGTTGGGTCATGACTAATAAAGAGCTTTTATTCAAAAAGTACTTCCAGTTATCAGCAAATAAAATTGGAAAATGTTCTATTGCGATGAAGTCACAACATAGGAATTTTTTTCTCCATTGCTACTGTTGAAAGAATCTTCCATTTTTGGAGTAAATAAATATTGGAGCATTTAAATAAAAAAAAATATGAATTCTTTAATCAATATATTTTTTTGCTATTTTATGCAATGTAGAACTAAAATACTATGGTTCACAGAATGTTCATATAATTATTCTTGATTGTTTCACAAGATGAATATTCATATTTTAAAACCCTACGCAGATACAAAGTAAAAAAATTTTTGCATTAGAATACAAGAATTTAAAACAGTTCAGGTTGTGTTGATAACTATCAGACATTCGATAATTATGAAATTTTTACTTTAAAAACTTGTAGTTTTTAAAAATCTTTTATTCATACTTTGTTTTATTATCACGTGCAAATTAAAAAAAAAATTCTCTGTTATTGAAAATGTTTTTAAACAATGTATCATAGCAACAAATTATTGATTTTTATGTTACACATTCTATAATACTTTTAGTGTGTGATAAATTTTATTATATTTTTAATTTTTATAGATTAATTTTTTCTAAGTTAATGTGGTACTTAAAAGTTCATTAATATATAACAATTTTTTTAAATACTTAATTTCTTTTAATGCACTGGATTTATTAAAGAACTATTTCACAAGCTTAAATGAATTAAAAAAACATAAAACTTATTGAGTGATTAAATTAATCATTTTAATCAATATGCTGATAATAAAAATAATTGAATAGCTGTTTGTCAATCGAACTTTTAATGAATTTTTTTTATCAAATTTTTTATTTTATTTATTACTTGAATTAAATTTAATTCAACCAACAAAATTTGTTGTTAAAGTCTTCAGCTGTCAATGCTGTTGTCAATTAATTTTTGACATTAAAAAGTATTAATTTGTAATAATTTATATTGATATAATAATTTTATAAATGTGCATAGGAGTACATTAAATCCTTTATTCAAGTCTGCAAGCTACTCATACGTCCTGTTAGTTTGCTTTCATTTCCTGAATTAAGTATCATTCTGGACTGGCAATAATAAGCTTAACGCGACAGATCGTCGACACTCGTGACCTCCAGCTCATTTTGAACCAAAGGTTAAGTTCAAGGTATTTTAGATATTTATGATGATTCAATTCTTATTTTTGTCGTGATGCTCGACCACATTTCTTTGTTTTCTATCTTGTAGTTTTAACTAAATGAAAATAATGAATTTACCCAACAAATTAATAAAAAATATATTTGCATTAATAATAAACACTGTCTTGAGCTTTCTAACAAAATAATTTATTAATAACGATAATTCCGACAACTAATGAATAAAATGATAAACATTTTCATTTTTTCTAAAGTGATAATAAGATTAAAAATAAAGCAAATAAATATGTAGGTCAGCTTAATATAAATGCAGTGGGAAAATATTTTTTCTCAAGTTGCTGATATTTTTTATAAATGTTAATAGC